TTTTCAACGTTTTATCACCGCAACGTAGTAAAATGTTACAATGAACTTGATTTTTTTTCATTGAATGATATATGACTAACCAGTAATCATTGTTTGATTCCAAGATGAGCTTTTGTATTATACATTAATCATAGACAATGTGAAACATATACTGCTGGCGTCATCTTATAGTGTAAAACAGGTTATCTGTCGTACGACATTAAACGTACACTTACAGAAAAAAAACTAGCGAATAGATACTTTGTTTCCTCAATTAAAGATCAGACTTGTGTATTGTATATTATTTGGGTGATTGTTAGTGTAAGGGTAGGGGTGCAGTGCTTGTTGATATGGTATACGTCTGGGTACAAAATGACGCGAGTGGGAACGGCAAGGGCTGATATACGCATTTTTACCCGTGTAATATGTGTAGTCTCTGGCTTCAATGGATTTACTTCTAAGTGTACAACTGCATTTGAGATAACAATATTTAATTTTAAAATGACAGTCGTATTTTCACGGGGTCGCACGTTAAATAAAAAAAATTGCTGTAGATTTCCCGCTTTTTTGTTTCAATAAACTAATTCTAGTAGCGAGTGTCGATCATTTCAAAGAAATAATTGCAAAGGTAAATATAACGCACAACAAGGAAAATGGATCACAGTAGCTCTACATGACCGATAAACGGTTCAAAATACTGTGGAGGGGTAGAGTTAAGGGTTTAGGGGGTAGAGGTATCGGGTAGGGGTAGAGTTAAGGGTTTAGGGGGTAGAGGTATCGGGTAGGGGTAGAGTGAAGGGCTTAGGGGGTAGAGGTATCGGGTAGAGAGTGAAGGGTTTAGGGGGTAGAGGTATCGGGTAGGGGTAGAGTGAAGGGTTTAGGGGGTAGAGGTATCGGGTAGGGGTAGAGTTAAGGGTTTAGGGGGTAGAGGTATCGGGTAGGGGTAGAGTGAAGGGTTTAGGGGGTAGAGGTATCGGGTAGGGGTAGAGTTAAGGGTTTAGGGGGTAGAGGTATCGGGTAGTGGTAGAGTGAAGGGTTTAGGGGGTAGAGGTATCGGGTAGCGGTAGAGTGAAGGGTTTAGGGGGTAGAGGTATCGGGTAGGGGTAGAGTTAAGGGTTTAGGGGGTAGAGGTATCGGGTAGGGGTAGAGAGTCCTCAAACAACCGTTGACACCGCTTTAGCGTTTAAAGTTTAATCGAGTTTAACCAGCACTTCCACGGTCGAACAATTTGTAACGAAGACAAGTTGATAATAATCAAAATAACCTGTTTGGTAATCAATCTATGGAGTGGCCCAGGTAACAGTTCATTTTTGTTTTAGTTTCAAAATCAACCTTATTATAGACGAATACGTAAATATCCCTTTTGACACTTCAACCTCCCCGTTTGGCTTATAAACTTGTAAGGGGGGATAATCACATCTGTAGACGCGTGACAGGAATGTACGTGTGTACGCGATGCCACATTGTTGCATACATCCTCTCGATATGGTACACAACCGTAGGCACGTGACATCATAAAAAACTATTGCCTCTCATTACGGCACATACACGTAGGCATGTGACATAAGGAAACTATGGCCTCTCATTACGGTACATACCCTGGGCATGTGACACCAGGAAACTATTACCTCTCATTGCGGTAAATACCCGTTAGCACGTGACATCAGGAAACTATGGCCTCTCATTACGGTACATACCCTGGGCACGTGACATCAGAAAACTATTACCTCTCATTACGGTAAATACCCTAGGCACGTGACACCAGGAAAATATTGCCTCTCATTACGGTACATACCCGTTAGCACGTGACATAAGGAAACTATGGCCTCTCATTACGGTACATACCCGTTAGCACGTGACATCAGGAAACTACTGCCTCTCATTACGGTACACAACCGTAGGCACGTGACATCATAAAAAAACTATTGCCTCTCAATACGGTACATACCCGTTAGCATGTGACACCAGGAAATTATGGCCTCTCGTTACGGTACATACCCGTAGGCACGTGACATAAGGAAACTATGGCCTCTCATTACGGTACATACCCGTAGGCACGTGACATAAGGAAATATTGTCTCTCATTACGGTACACAACCGTAGGCACGTGACATCAGGAAACTATTGCCTCTCGTTACGGTACATACCCGTAGGCACGTGACGTCAGGAAACTATTGCCTCTCATTACGGTACACAACCGTAACCACGTGATGTCAGGAAACTATTACCTCTCATTACGGTACATACCCGTTAGCACGTGATATCAGGAAACTACTGCCTCTCATTACGGTACATACCCGTAGGAACGTGACATCAGGAAACTACGGCCTCTCATTATGGTACACAACCGTAGGCACGTGACATCAGGAAACTACTGCCTCGCATTACGGTACACACCCGTAAGTACATGACATCAGGAAAATATTGTCTCGCATTACGGTACATACCCGTAGGTACATGACATCAGGAAAACATTGCCTCGCATTACGGTACATACCCGTAGTTACATGACATCAGGAAACTACTGCCTCGCATTACGGTACATACCCGTAGTTACATGACATCAGGAAAATATTGCCTCGCATTACGGTACATACCCGTAGGTACATGACATCAGGAAACGCACTGCATGTATAAAGGCAAATACATGTTCCTTATATGGCGATCTCGTGGTCGGGTGTCAATAGCACAGGGATCATTCAACAGCAGATAACCAGTTCAAATGTAGCTTGGATAGGCTAACACTGCTTTTATGTTGAGGTATATCCGGCAAAAGCGAGAGAAAAGAAGCACTTAAAAAGACGAAGGATGTTATGCTTGTCCAAATGACCCATAAATTCAATGATGTCTTTCTTTGAATAGAATAACATTTTAGGAAGTAATATTTCGTTCGACTAACCAGTCATATGATATTTTGAGTGTTAACACGGGACCTTAATCGACTGACAGCTTGGTTATAAAGGTTGATCATATTTTTCATCGGAAATAAATGACAGCAAATAAAAAAAAAGAAAATCCGTGTTTTACTTTTGGGGTATACTTTCCAAATGTTTGACGAGTTCTGTCTGCAGAATAAAAGGTGTTTATAACTATTCTCCAATACCATTAACTTGTCCTCACATTTCCAGAAGAAGAAAGTAAACCTTGCCGACATGAAAGTAATCCCAGATTCTTCCACATCAACCACTCACCTTGATCTTCACCTACAACGCAAGCAAAGAGGATGGTTTTTCCAATTAGCAGCATGGTAACCGATTTATTTAGTGGGAAATATATTTTCTTGATCCTAATGGGAAATACTATACTACCCTGATCCTAGTGGGAAACATTATACTTCTCTAATCCTAGTGGGAAATATTATACTTCTCTAATCCTAGTGGGAAATATATTTTCTTGATTCTAATGGGAAATATTATACTTCTCTAATCCTAGTGGGAAATATTATACCACCTTGATCCTAGTGGGAAATATTATACTTCTCTAATCCTAGTGGGAAATATTATACCACCTTGATCCTAGTGGGAAATATTATACTTCTCTTATCCTAGTGGGAAATATTATACCACCTTGATCCTAGTGGGAAATATTATACCACCTTGATCCTAGTGGGAAATATTATACTTCTCTAATCCTAGTGGGAAATATTATACCACCTTGATCCTAGTGGGAAATATTATACCACCTTGATCCTAGTGGGAAATATTATACTTCTCTAATCCTAGTGGGAAATATTATACCACCTTGATCCTAGTGGGAAATATTATACTTCTCTAATCCTAGTGGGAAATATTATACCACCTTGATCCTAGTGGGAAATATTATACTTCTCTAATCCTAGAGGGAAATATTATACTTCTCTAATCCTAGTGGGAAATATTATACCACCTTGATCCTAGTGGGAAATATTATACTTCTCTAATCCTAGTGGGAAATATTATACCACCTTGATCCTAGTGGGAAATATTATACTTCTCTAATCCTAGTGGAAAATATTATACCACCTTGATCCTAGTGGGAAATATTATACTTCTCTAATCCTAGTGGGAAATATTATACCACCTTGATCCTAGTGGGAAATATTATACTTCTCTAATCCTAGTGGGAAATATTATACTTCTCTAATCCTAGTGGGAAATATATTTTCCAGTGAGATTTGAAATTAGATGTGTCTGATACTCCTTATTTTGCCTTGTGGTATTATTGTTATTATGTAGGAAAGGGAGTGAACTTGTTTCTCCATGTCATAATCAAGAGTGAAACATTTAACAAAGGGAAATACTAGTTTTCCTGTAATTCATCATCAGATTTACTGTACACCTGTATGTATTTCATTTGTTTAAGTATTCAGATATTCTAGAAGAAAGATGTTGCATCTTGGAAATTTTGAAACATTCAAATTGAGGTCATATTAATTCTGAAGATAGGAAATTCACATTCTTTGGGAATAGCCAACCATTAATTTACAAGTCGGCACAGATTTCTAGATTTAAACTTTATAAACCACATTACACATAACAAGGAGCAAAATATTCCCTGTACGACACAAGAAACACCCAACACCCGTCACTCTTGTAGAAACCGGTAGTTTGTATAAATGACACAAAACTCAGGAACTGTTCCTTGTACTTTGAGACATGGTGGTAATCACAGCATCATGTCAATGTTTTATCTGTCTAGGATTCATCATTGATGCTAAGGGCATGAATTGTTCAATGTAACCTTCACAAATATCATTATTTATTTAGACATGAGAAGCACTAGTGCCATCATTCAATAAATCCAGCAATATTTAAGAAGACGAAAATGATATTTTTAGGTTGAAGAGAAAATATTACTGAAAATTTGAAGAACAGAAAATCTGAAAGTTTTAATGTTTTTTAATGTGAAAATAACACTTTGTGTGTGTGTGTGTGGGGGGGGGGGGGGGGAAGGGGGGGGGGAAGAGATGAAATATGGGTGAATATTTCCAGGTGCAGTATTACCAAACTTTAAGATGTATTTAAAAATAAAGACAAACTGTATTTTATCATAATTTCATTTTATTCCAAATGTAGATGAAATATTTTAAAACATGACTAACACAGGAAAGATGATATGAAATTTGAACAGATGATGAACACAGAAATACTACATAAATATCTCAACAAGTGAATGGTTGATAGGGCAAACAGTTTAACACTGACAACATAACTGATCATATAGATATATGGTACATTCCTTATAGCTAACATAATATGTATCAGGTCAACAGTATCTCTTTGTTTCAACAAGAGGCCCAGACAACAGGCGAAATATTGCAAATAAATCTCCAGGCCAGAAAATGTTAATCTTCCTAACATAATTGTGTTGTTTCTTAATGAACAGCAATAATATAAATGGTTATTTGTTGTGTATTATGACCCAACGACAGTAAAAATATGTAACAGCAGGCATTAAAATAACATTGTGTATCACATCCTAAACAGAGACTTTAACAGAACAATCATAATTTAAATGAAGACTTTAAAAATGATGATACTGTTACCAGTAAAGAATATTTACATTATTTAACATACAATACCCATCAACAGTAACTTTATCATCTACTTGTAATATAAGACCAATTCTTCTATGTGGTGAAAACAGAAGATTATCCGACTTAATATTAACCCAAACATTATTTTCCCCACCTCCCTCACTTATGAACTTCAGTGCAACAGAACCTGATATCTGTGACCTTTAACCCTTATGACCCTTACAATCTTGACCTTTGACCCAGATACCTCAGTCATACACAAACTCAATACTTGACATTAGCTGGTACACATTTCATGATATGACGGTCCCTACTCATGTCAGTTTGTGTTTCTGAGGAAGCCGAGATGTGGACTCTCCTGTAGTATTGTGGTTGAAGTCTTTGACACTTAACCCTAATTTCTCTGGGTGGCATGTAATTGGCCTCCCACATGTTGTTCAGAGAGGTAGCCATCTGCTACTACAAGGAGACCAACTCAAAATGACACTGATTGTTGACTGCAAAATTTCTAGTAAACAAATATCACACCATTTGATTTTTGTAAATTCACCAATGATCATTGCTTTAGAATGTTTGCAATGGAGACAGAAAATCTGTCAGACAGAATGCGACTCCTGATATGATATGAGCACCTCCTACCAAAACTGAACAATAATGCCTCATGTAATTCCTTAATATCATTAAACTGTAAAATTTCACCTCTATCACCTACACCTTACTCCTATGAAATCTGGAGCACCATCACAACTTCAAATTTCATGTGATATGTACTATGATGAACTGCAATGAACTTTTACTTTATGGCCTTGACCAAGACATAGAGAGGTTATGACCTTTACCTTTCATCTTGACAATAATCTGTTGTGTTTATTTGTCACAAGTTAAAGGCATGGCAAAGAGCACAGGTTGAAATTTGTCTTGCTACAGAAGTTTTTCACTTTGAAAATTTTAAATTATAGACACAATCTGTCTAATCATTCTATTTATGTAGATTTAAGTGAAAGATGTTCTTAATCTAGTCTATCTAATATATAAACTATATATGACAAATACCACGAGATGCCAATGGACTTTTAATCTAAACACTAATTGTACTTTAGTTTAACAACAACATCTTAATCTATTTGGTTTTACTTTATAAAATTTGATACAGAAACAAGACTTGGATTATTTCAGATCATCAAACCTTGAGCTAATTAGATGTGATGACAATGATTTTTCTCCCTTGATTTTACAGCAGCCTGCGGCTTCATAAATTGGGAGAATATAGTAGGATTTTGCTGAAGAATGAGAAAAATATTTTTGGATTTTGCTTCATTTTGGGAAAATAACACATTTTGGGCTAGAGAAAACTGCTTTCTTTCCATTGTAAAACAGCAAAGAAATTGTGGGGTAAGGTTAATAAATCTTCTACAAAATATTTACTTTAAAATTCCTTATATCAGATTATAAAAAGTTTTTATGTTGTCATTCTTGATGTCATCTTGGCCCTAATCGGAGTCTGTAAATCTGTAACACAATTTCATTTTCTATGCAAATATTAACAGGTTAAGATGACAAATTATATATCGAAATAAAAATATTGTCAAAATAACAGATTCCAGAATTAATGAAAATCAGCCATGAACTGTAGTTATCTGCATTCTACAACATCCAATGAAGACTTATAAACAACTGGCCAACATTTTGCTTTAAATCATTTAAGTGGTGTTTGTTCAAAAACAAAAAAAAAAAAAAAAAAACCAATATACACAACATTTCAGTTTGGTTTAATCTTTCATAATTCTTAACACACTTCAAAGAAATCTATTTATAGAGATTTCAACGAAAAGTTACACATATAAAAAGTTTGCAGGTGACACTAAACAAAAGGCAGTAAATATAAGTCACTGTTGGTAAAGTGACTTAAAAATGTCAAAGGAAAAAATAAATATTGCACACACCCTTTTTATTTACAATTTTAAAAGACGATGCTTTCCAGATCATCCATGGTTATTGTGACCATCTTCACTATTTTAACAAAGGTTAATTTCACTTTTTAATTAGAAATTGAGTTTTTGCCAAATTGAGACTAAAACACTCAAATCTAATTGGGAATCAATAGCTCTACATCATGGCACTGAATAGAGAGTATGCTGTAGTATTAGAAAACCAGCTGTTCATCTTACAATTCTGATCAGAAGTGTCCAGAACACTGTACTACAGATGTTGGTAGTGGTTACCACATCAGGGTCTTCTGTAGCAGAACACTGTACTACAGATGTTGGTAGTGGTTACCACATCAGGGTCTTCTGTAGAACCTTAGTATCTAACACACTCACACTCACAGCTTTCACTATTTTAAGAATGTTTTTCACCACTTTAAGCTTACATTTGTTGCCTGCTTTCATTGTCTGCCCCCTGGATGTGCATGATTCTGAGTTCATTGTGAACTGTAGATGCTAAAACACAACATGGAACATACAGCAGATATCCTGCTCCGATCCTTGATTGGCATTGATCACAGTCAGTCTACTCCAACACATCCAATATGACACAGTAATTCTTGTGTAGGGTTGGAGAGTTACAATCATTCACCACCGAGATCCAATACGAGTTGGTACTCTTTGTGTAAGATAGAAGTGACGTGGCAAAGATCTGATGTGTTTTACCTATAACTTTATTTGCGAAGCTTTGGCACTGAAGGAAGTGATAACATTATCACTGATATCACAGGAGACTTGTGGGAGAGCTCTGTCACAGGAATGGAGCAGATCACTTCTCCTCCATCAGAGGCCCCTGTATAGCACCACTGGATAATGATGTCTGCACAGCTTTGAGATCTCCATCAAGTAAAACAGAGTTCCTCATGGCCTCACAGGACTCTTGTCCTGGCGAGATTTCTTTGGGGATGGCGAGGATACCTGAGCCTAGAAACAAAAGGAAATCAATGACATGAAATTTGTAAAAGAAGAATTTATCTGTTGACTCTGTCTTAATGCTGACATTCCTAGACAAGTGATTTAACATCAAAGCTTCGTTGACATGCATATGATTGTCACTAGTGGGAAGCCTTACCTATCAATGATGAACTATAGAACAACAAAATAGATTTTTTACCTTCTGCCATTTGTCCAGGAGTTTTTCATATTCTGACATGTAAAAGGCGAATACTTCATCACAGTCTCGTCGGACAGTACTCCCTGGAGGGTTGTAGGTACGACAGTTATCCCTCACCAGTAACATGTCTGTGTGGAAGTCTTCCTGGTCCAGGTAAGTGTTAGCCTGTAATCAAAGAAAAAGTTGAATATTTAGAAATTTGTCCAACTTATCAGCTAACACTAAAAAGTTATCCTTAAAATTCATGAAATCTTGTATTTCTTGTTATCAATGAATTAGAAATTCTAAAAGGGGTCAACATTATACACTAATGACATGAATCCATACCTCCAGTTTTTTCTTGATTGTTCCAAAGTCCATTGGGTGCTTGATGATTGTGTAATAGTCAGGAACTTCTGTGCGGTCAACTGTAACCAGAACAATAAGTAACGATCACAGTCATTAAACACTACAACCATGACAAGAAGGGATATTTCAGCTACTTTTACCAAAAGACAACAAGAGAGACTGACAAGTAAAAAACTCAAAAGGGAATCATAAAAAAATTTCATAATATTGTTTACCAAAAACAATCCATTTTCATGGTCTCGAATTTCAAGGTTTTCCCAAAATATACACTTTCGTTGGCACGTTATGAAATCTTGATCATGCATTCTGTTAATAGTACAATCCCTGTCAACTTTTAAAAGTTTTCCAACAAAAAATAAATATTGACGGTTTTACAGTAGCATTAGCATAGATTTCCACCATACATGTTGCTATCACTCCTGTCCAAATGAGTTTGCTTGAAATGTATTCAACAGTTCATCAGGATTAGATTTTTTAGATTTAATATCTTTTTTGGGGGTTTCCAGAATTTGGACATTACTATGACTTTTGAAGAGGAAGATCTCCAATGTTTGGATGTTAACAATTGAAGAACTCTTCCTGAAGGAGAAGGCTTAGTATGAGACCAACCCCATTAACAGGAATGTATTCATCACTGACGTCTAGCATTTTACGATCATAAGATGGAGATGTGAGCTGCTTCTGTTATGAGCCATTCATATTTAGGTAGGATTCGAGAGCCTATTTAAGTTGTATCATGTGCTTTCTCTGAAAACCCAAGTTACTTGGGCCACACCCAAGACTGATCAAAGTTGCAACATCATTTATATTTTGTGAATATTAACCACAAAATTTCTTCTACTCAATCATAAAATAACACATTTATGATACAACACCAAGAGGTACAATTCTTTTGGAGTCATTATTTAGAGAAATCATCCATTTATTTGTCTCCTTTTGAAAAAAAAAAGGAGACATCTTCCCTTTGTTTACCTGGTTCAGTAAACCATGATGCAGCATTTAGATCCCCCTTCTCTCGGTTTAGTCCTCGATACCGTGACACTCTTTGAATCAACCTTAAAACAAATCACAAAGACATGGTTAGAAACAAAAAAATACCCTATAATCTGTACATCATTGTTCAGGAAATCTTCATCTTTGTTACGTTTTTCTTGTGGTGTCCTTATTTTGTCATTCGTTTAATTTAGTGTTGCTTTACGTCCAATTAATAGCCAGGGTCATTTATGAATGTGGCCAGTACCTGCCCAATGTTGGCCTAAAACCCATGACCCAGAGGTAGAGGGCTAGTGATGAAGACAATCAGAATTTAGTACATTGAAAAAACATTCTTTCCCCAGCATTAGGCCTTTCTGTAGTCTTTTCTGCTCGAAGACAGACAAGACCTTCCTTTAAACAATATTTCCTTCACCATAAAGATCTCTATATGCCCTTTTGAACTGGGTGCGTCTGCCCTAATGGTGACAAATTTCCAATGCCTTCCAGACATGATAAAAACTGTTCACAGATGGATTCTCAAAGCCAACTTCTAGTCAAAATCCTTCATAAAGAAAAACTTGTATACAACAGATAATGAACTACAGAGACTGTGCTACCATACAAAGTCATCAATCAAAGTTGAATCCAATAAGCCAAAGTAGGAAAGTGGAAATGACCGTAAAGCTAAATATTTCAAGCACTATCTTATGTATAGCAAAATAGCTTCAGAAAACTTTTTAATGTACCCCAAATAACTTAAGACTTGTAAGCTTACCCTATGCATGACCTAATCCAAGAACCTTGGCTTGGTATCTCATCAATAGCCGACGGTGCCTTTCTTTTTCGCTTGCTCATTCTTATTGAGGCGCTGAGGTCAAGTCCAGCCACCTCTTGGCTGTCTGAGCTGTTTCCTGTTGCCATAGAAGGACTCGTAACCACACCCAAGTCGTCCAGACTAGACATTTCGGCTTGTACGTCTGCAGGGTCCACCATCTGGGCAGTCTCCACGGTGACAGCACTAGACACTCCACTGGACATGCTGTCAGACAGACTTCCACCTAGATGGGATTCCAAGTCATCTAAAGTACCCTCCTGTCCAATTACTTCTACTCCTTCAGCAAACACACCATCCTGTGGCAGAATCATCTCTGACACTCCTTGGGCAAGTGGCTGGTAACAACAAGGATACATTATAAAACCGAGCACATTGGCACACACAAACACTAACCTGCTTAACCTATAACATATTAGATATTTTATGAAGGAGAATATGTTAAACCTGACTTTGATAATGAACCTGCATGGGCTTAGGATTAGTTTTCTGATGAATACATTTTTTGATACAAAACCGCTCCAGAATTTGAGCAATTAAATCTCTGCTGATGTTGGTCAATATTTTTTAAATGTGAAGTTTACAAATAAAATCAAAATAATGAATCTTCACATGCCTCAAAATGCTTTATAATGATTTATAGTGTAAAAGTTTATCATTCCATGAGTACATCATTAGTCAATAATCACTTGTCAAAGATCACAACCAATCTATCTATAATTCAACCTCCAATGTCCATCAATAAAACCACTGATGTAATGTTGAGGTGATTTCTACAACACATCTCTAGAACTGAAACTACCTGATGTCTGGTAATGTTAAGGTGATTTCTACAACACATCTCTAGAACTGAAACTACCTGATGTCTGGTAATGTTAAGGTGATTTCTACAACACATCTCTAGAACTGAAACTACCTGATGTCTGGTAATGTTAAGGTAATTTTTAATACAACACATCTCTAGAACTGAAACTACCTGATGTCTGGTAATGTTAAGGTGATTTCTACAACACATCTCTAGAACTGAAACTACCTGATGTCTGGTAATGTTAAGGTAATTTCTACAACACATCTCTAGAACTGAAACTACCTGATGTCTGGTAATGTTGATGGTGGCATTCTGTTGGTTTTTATTAAGTTCTTGTATAGGAATAAAGCTGCTTGATTTGATACGGATGATTGATCCAGCAGGTGTCTCCTCCTCCCCTAATGTGACCTCGGATGACTCTGCGGTTGTGGTCTCAATGTCTGTAAAATCATTCAACACAATGAGTTAATAATGGCACTATTTTCAGTTTCATTGAATTTTGAGTTTGAATCAAGGTTTTCCTGATACGTCGTTAATTTTTTGGTGTTGCTGACAACGTCGTTAATTTTTTGGTGTTGCTGACAATGCAAAGTTCAATTTCCACACTCAGTTAACCTGTCACTTATTTGCTCACTTCTGAGTGAAATTTCTATATTGTTCTACTACGCTGAATCACGATATATAGAAGAAAAACTCTACTCTGATTTATACGTGAAAATATATCATCTTTGTCTTACACCCTGCCTTACCTGTTGTTTGATCACCAGACTGGATGTCTGCTGAAGATTGAATATCAGGTTTCTCCACCAGAACATCCTCTTCTATAAACTGGTAGGGGTCAAGGTCAATCTGCGCCTGGGCCAGTGAGCTACTGAGCAGATCGAAAGTTTTTGTTCCAGTGGTAGACGTGTCAAGTTGTGTGCGGTCCAGACTAGGTGTTGATACGACGACTGTGTCGGTGCCTGATGTGGCAGCTACAGTGTAAAATATGCCTGTCTGAGGATCTAGCTCTCCCTGGAAGTTGAGGCCAGGAGCAAGGTGCTCAAGCTCAGACTGGGAGCCCTCAATTGAGCTCTGGGAGGAGGGCATACTGGTTGTGGTGTCCACCTCAGCATTGTCAGTGGTTAGGGAGGACTGGCTCTGTGTAAATATAAAATGTCATACATTAATTTACCCTGCAACTGACACATTATTGGAATTCACCTGCCACATAGATATTGGAGGAAAACGTGTATTTTAGCATGTGCATATAATCAATGGAATTACTGTCTGAATTTACTGAAATATAACGTTTAACAATACAAATAACTGTTTAAATAAGAAATTTTATATCTTGTAGTGAACCAAGTTATTTATAAACATTAATCAAATCACTGACATATTTGTTGAAGTTTGGAAATATATTTCTGCGCGAAGCAATTATTTTGGTGTATGTCATCAAGCATAATTAAGCATAATGTCCACCTCAGGTAAACAGAGATTAAGCGACAACATTGTTGAAGCTTTGATGGTCTGATTTTCAGCCAATATTGCAGGATAAATATAATACATGGTCAGTGTCTTAAAATATAAGTCACTTTTGTCTTTCTTCACCCTCGCCAAAATACAGCTTATATCTTAAAACCCTGACTATATATTCTCAATTTTCAAAGAATCATTCTTGATACCTTGTTCAGATCTTGAGCTACCCCATCTACACATAAACCCATAATTCTTGACACCACGTTTAAAACAAGCTCACAGTTAGTCCCCTTCCATGCCATGATTAGTATTTTTGAAGCAACTTCTCAAATACTTTGGTTGGGTCATGAAAGGAGAATCTGAACAAGTAAAGCTTTTGGTTGACCTTTTGACGTGAAACTCAATCCCATACTAGGTCTCCACCTACAATAACACTGTATCAAGTTTCAACCTAATTGATTATCTGTAACATAAGTTATCATCTGGAAACCAAAAATCTACTTTTAGCAACAATGACAGACGTGGTTGACCTTGTGACCCAAAACACAATCCTGCACTAAGTTTCCTACTAAACTAACATTATATCAAGTGTCAATCTGATTGGTCATCCATTATGCAAGACTTCATCTGGAAACCAGACAGAAAAACAAACAGAGAGACAATAACAAAAACTCTGGTTTCACCAGCAGGAGACTAATAACATCACTGACAACATTTCTGAACTGCAATAAACATATGTAGTAAAACTTAAGAACTCTCCATCTTAAGGACAGATTCTAGATCAGTGTAACAACAACAACTTACTTCTGATGTGCCTGGGTCAGAATGTGAGCTCTCTGAACTTTCCATTCTAAGGAGAGAGACTGGATCTAGTGTTGAAGCGGTTCCCTCAGAATTTGGCTGGTTTAAAATCTTCATTGCTTGTTCTGAGAGAGAAAATAATTTCATAATGAGATTCAAAATATACTTTTTTTCCTACAGTACCCCCAGGATTTTGACTTTTGGCTTAGCGGCGGAGTTATCACAGAGCAATGAAATGAAACAGCAATTGACATGATATCAATCATCCATTCACCTGATTTTGTCATATTAACCTAATATTGTCAATATCAATGCAGGCAAAATACTACAATCACCAGACATTTCTTCACTTTTGATCAATATTTAATCTGGTTTTTTTCAATATTCCGAAAAAAATCTTGTATCATATAAACACATATATGAAAACTATATAACAGAATTTATCATAAGGTAAGTGAAATTAAAACCAGATTAATATGAATAGTTATTAAAGGAAAAATTACCTATAGAATAAAACTGTTGTTGAGAAAGCTGGTCTGACAACTGACTTAGGTCAACACTTGCTGATCTGAAAAAAAGTTAAGAAATGATAATATACTTTATTCTTTCTGATTGACAAATACCAAATTTTAAACACATTTTACACTATACAGTACAGGTATATCATTATCTCACCATTTCATTCTTCAAAATACGGAACTTTCATCGAGTTGACAAATCTCAATATATCAAAATATCAGTTACAACAGCCCTCAGAGAGGACATTAGCACCTACTATTGAGTTATGGGTTTTAATAGGATTTACCTCTGTACAGTGACACATTAGCACCCAACTATTGAGTTATGGATTTGCATAGGACTTACCTCTGTACAGTGACACATTAGCACCCAACTATTGAGTTATGGATTTGCATAGGACTTACCTCTGTACAGTGACACATTAGCACCCAACTATTGAGTTATGGGTTTTAATAGGACTTACCTCTGTACAGTGACACATTAGCACCCAACTATTGAGTTATGGGTTTGCATAGGACTTACCTCTGTACAGTGACACATTAGCACCCAACTATTGAGTTATGGGTTTGCATAGGACTTACCTCTGTACAGTGACACATTAGCACCCAACTATTGAGTTATGGGTTTTAATATGACTTACCTCTGTACAGTGACACATTAGCACCCAACTATTGAGTTATGGGTTTGCATAGGACTTACCTCTGTACAGTCACCTTGGGTTTGGCTTGTGCTGCTCCTGAACTCTGTATTTCCACTCCAGACTCGAGTCCTGAAGTCTGATAGTTTTGACTGCTGTCGTCTGTGACATCATACTCAAACCACTCATTATTGGGTAAGGACTGTGATGTTGTGCCTATGAACAAACACCATTAGTATGACAGCAACACAATTGAGTGTGTTGTAAGAGAAGATATCTGTGAACATTCATCATGATGGACATTTGTTATGGCCGTGTATTTATAAATTTGTCAGAGGTTTATCCCTGGTCAGTGGTGGTAAAAAATGTGCAATTTATTAATAAGTAAGGTAGAGTCCAGTTCACTTGCGACTCCCACATGAATAAATTTGAACCTCAGAAAGTCATGTTCAATGGCAAATGTCTGCAGTAAATCATTAAAATGAAGTCATTAGTTAATCTTATTATTATTATCATTATTTTTATTAATGATTTATGAATGTCTACAAAGTGTTGGTCCTTAATTTGTGTAGATGTGTCATTGTGCTGTGTTAAACAGATGCTGCAAGCATTCAAGATTTCTAGGAGACTAGAAGACTGAGACTGCAGGTCCTTACGCTGTGTTGCCATGTCACTGTCCCCCCGTGTCTTACAGACAATGCAGCCATTTTTGATCTGTGTAGGACTACCGCATCCTTGAGCGTAGGTCCTTAATTTGTGTAGATGTGTTGCTGTCCTGTGTTAAACAGACACAGCAGGTGTTTATCATCTGTGAGACTAAAAGATCTGAAGTGTGTGTCTTTACTTTATGTAGTCATGTCAATGTCCTGTGTCTGAAAGACAGAGCAACCATTTATATGTGCGAGTCTATCAGACCCCTGAGTGTAGGTCCTTACTTTGTGTAGATGTGTCGCTGTCCTGTGAGCTGACAGACAGTGCAGCCATTGCAGCCTCGTCCAGATTGATTGTGACATCACCTGTTGCCTCTGAAGAGCTGTCTGGAACAATTCCTGCAGCATGGATAAGATCTGCCAGCAAAGATGTAGTCTTTCCTTCAGATTCCGATCTAGCTCTCTGGGGAAGTCAGAAGAGAATAAAGAACATTACAGCCTTTGTTAAAGTAGGCCTCTTAGAAGAAAAACAATTGATCATTAGTGCCTATAATGTTGATGTATTAGTCATGTGATTATTACTTTAACACTTGAAGACCGCTGTAATGCTGTATGTCATTTCATTTTAAATTGATCCATAAAATACATGAACTGTGTGACATGAAGGTACAAATGTAAACGTAAGCATGCATTGTTGATTTCTCGTTAATTTCTATTTAAAGTTAAATCTTTAATCTTTCATGAATGAAACTGTTTAAAGATAAAAATGCCTCTTTTTATTGGAACTTGTTGTGGTATTTGTTGTGTTTGTACAGGTAGAAATAACGTGTTATGAATTATAGTCATGAACATGAAAACTTTGATATATATATACTACCACAAATGATTCAAAGTCTCAATGTATATTTGGTAGTCCATGATCTTCGAAACATCAAAGACATGTGACAAGACTTACATGGCGAGTGACTGCCTCAAGCTGACCAGGTGTGGTCACTATGACCTTCCTCTCTGTCCTCTGACTGCCAGGTGTGGTCACCACAATGTGCTTGGTGGAATCCTGTTTTTGTAAAAAGCTAACCAGTTCCTAGAAACGGGATAAATATTTCATCACAAATATTCATGGAATGTGCACACTCATGTAAAATATGTACGTAAATTGGGACAGAAAGACAAAAGTGACTTGCCAGAGGCTTGACACTTTTGTCTTTCTTCACCTTTTCCTATAGACAGCTAAAATTTTAAGACACTTACAATGTATTCTCTATACACTTATTAAATGTAAATAAGGGGCAGATAACTCACCTTTTCAAATGGACTGGAGATGATGGTTGTTCCTTTAGCAGTACTACTCAGCCCACCTTGAGACTTCTTTGGTTGTGTTTTTTGAACAACAATCACATTTGGTTTTCCTGGAACCAATCATGTCAACATTAACATTTAGAAAAAAGGAAATTTACACTACAAAGATAATAGGAAAGCAACACAAAATTTAATACACAAGGCACAAAACAGAATATTATTTCAGTAATACGAACTTCACCACTTTATAAATATTCTGATTTTTTTTTTTATTTTGTTACTTCAGACTAATGCTATATTTTAGCATTGTAAGAGGATACAGTTTAAGGAAGTTTTGTGTACTCTAAAAACAAAATTATCATGTGTTTTACTAAATTTATATGTTTGCCTTGCTCCACAGCCTCAAATGCCAAAAAACTACAAGCATACATCCCACTTGCCCCAGAGGGTTACAGTTTGTTTGTACAATGGTCCTGCCACCAAGGGACCACTGACTCTGCTTAACTGCTTAGACATCTGCCTTGTCCCCAGGGGGTGACAGCCTATGATAATACCTCTACTTCCAGGGGGCCACAATCTTATTTCATACATACATCTTGCTTGCGAGGGGCCACAATTGATATTTCTACATCTGCTCTGGTTCCAGGAGGCCCCCAGCCATAGTTTATACATCAACCTTACCCCAGAGAGCACAATCCTCAGTCCTACCCCAAGGATTCACAATCTATGTTTATCAGTCTGCTCTCTCCCCAGGGGGTGACTATCTATGTGACCACTGTCAATGTTTACACTTCCCAACAATGATCCCCCACAGTCAATGTTTACACTTCCAAACAATGGTCCCCCAGGGGGTGACCACAGTCAATGTTTACACTTCCAAACAATGGTCCCCCAGGGGGTGACCACAGTCAATGTTTACACTCCCCAACAATGGTCCCCCCAGGGGGTGACCACAGTCAATGTTTACACTTCCCAACAATGATCCCCCACAGTCAATGTTTACACTTCCAAACAATGGTCCCCCAGGGGGTGACCACAGTCAATGTTTACACTTCCCAACAACGGTCCCCCCTGGGGGTGACCCTTTGGGCCAGGTGAGCTAATAAACCTTGAGTGCTGATGACACTTACCTGAGCCTCCAGACTGAGACTTGACTGCAGTCAGATGTAAGGTTTTTGGGCTAACTGTGACCACATTGCCAGAGCGATTCACACCCGATATCACTTTTCCTCCCTGGGTTATATTGAGTATTTTTGTACCAGACTGGCCTGAAATCATAAAGAAGGTAAAATTAACACTGACTCTGGCGGAAACACCAACTAGTTCAAGGTATTATGATACCAATAAGTGAAGTTTGATCAAAATCTGTTGAGAGAAATGAATTTGCTAGACAAGAAGTGTATGTATGCATGTACAAATGAATGGAATACTATATCTATCTGTGGTTGCTGCGAGGGGATAGTAAATCATTTACAAATAATTCAAGTAGCCTACATACCTATGGATGTTACAGGCCTTGTTACCATAGTAACACTAGAAGTGGCAGTAGATGAGCCTGCACTAACGACGACAACTGGTGTACCACTACTGTTTGACAGCTGGGTGGGCTTCGGCAGAATTTTACTGGTGCCTCCCCCCGGTATACTCTGGGTGATGATCTTCATACCTATGATGATTAGAACATGAACATAATTGGTTGGGCCAAATACAATTAGCATACTACAAGCGCAGAAGGACTAAAATAGTGGACTCTCATAAAACATTTGAATATTTTTTAATGCTCAAGGGAATTGGTGGAGATTTCAACATCAACAGTTAAAATAATTTTTTACTGTATCAAATAAATCTATGAAAACTTCCAACTTTTGAAAAGTGTATTAATAAATGATGTTCACTGAAAATCTTATTGAAACTTTTTTTTTATATATATATATAAAAATGATACTTGACATATCTAGAGCTAGCTTGGTGATATGGTAGCAATCTTTGCTTGTAAGCATGGACTAGAAATGTCCCAATAGTGGGGAAGATATATTTAATACATTGTGTAAGTAACTAGCTCACGAAGACTGAAAAAGAAGCTAAACCACACACTTCCAGTTCCACATATTGTCTGAAGCCTGTTACCCTTTCAACAATAATATGACCTTCTTAATAACACTATCATAGAAGAACAAAAGTGATTTAACAGTTTTAGTAAAGTCATAGAATAAACGGAAGGAACTTGAACGATAGAAAATAGGCCAATCATTTTCTTTCAAACAGATATGAGGCCTAGAAATTCTCACAGATGAAATATGTTATTTTAGGGAGATATTCACATTTTCTTTTTAATTTGTTTATATAAATGTATTTTGCATCAACTACTTTACAAAATAATTTCAAAAGATATTTTATCCCTCTTGCTGAGGTAGTTATGTGTTTTTTTTTTTTTGGTATAATGAGGTTCCAGGTTGTAAATCAGATTTGACTATAGACACTCAGTATCTAAAAATATGTGTAGAAAATTGACTGATTGGATATTTTTCTATCACTTAACTTCCTTTCATCTCAAATTGTTATAAAGGAAAAATGTTTTCAACCTAGGCCTAGAAGTTGAAGCTACATCCTGAAACACACAATGAGCTGCCTGTCAGGCAGGTGAGAAAATGATAACTATTTTACTAAACAATTTTATCCCATCTCTAGTAATGAAAGTTCTATCCATAACAAATGCTGTATCAATTTATTTGAACGACAATTTTTTTGTATGATATTTTGTTTCTAAATGATAAATATTGGATATTCTAGATCGGTAAACCTCAGTCACACTATATATCCCCACTTCTTCAATAGAAGAGATCCCAGAGGGATCTTGGCGCCCACCATTTGAGGATCTATTTTCAGTTCTTGAAGATTTGTTTATTTTTTTTTGCTTGTTACAGGTGTTGTAAATGTTCATGAACTGGTCTTCATTGAATGTACTCAATGATGGCACAAGATATTTTTATTAAGCACTTATTAGCAAATATCATTTGAAAAAGATAGCAGTCAGTTACAGGTGGATAATGGACAATATGCTTGTGCTGTATTACTGTCGACATCCAAGATGGCAGCCTGTGGGCCACCTTGATTTCAAATCAGTCAAAAAAAGGTACAATGCACAACTAGGGACCAAGGGAAACCAATATCTATGAAATATCAGAAGGATCCATCCAGTACTTCCTCGGATATAGCAGTAACAAGATTTTACTCTCAAAATCCAAGATGGCTGCCTGTCAGCCATCTTGATTTCGGATCAGTCCAAAAAGGTACAATGCACAACTTGGAACCAAAGGAAACATACATAAGAAATTTGAGAAAGATCCATCCAGTACATTCCAAGAAATAGCAGTAACAAACTTTTACATCCAAAATCCAAGATGGCCACCTGTCGGCCATCTTGAATTCGAATCAGTCCAAAAGAGGTACAGTGCACAACTAGGGACCAAGGGGAAACTGCATATGAAATTTGAGAAAGATCCATCCAGTACTTTCCAAGAAATAGCGGTAACAAACTTTTACATCCAAAATCCAAGATGGCCACCTGTCGGCCATCTTGAATTCGAATCAGTCCAAAAAAGGTACAATGCACAACTAGGGACCAAGGAGAACCTGCATATGAAATTTGAGAAAGATCCATCTAGTACTTTTCCAGAAATAGCGGTAACAAGAATTGTTTACGGACGGACGGACCACGGACGCAGGGCGATTTGAATACCCCACCATCTGATGATGGTGGGCTAATAAGTGTGATTCCTGCCACTGTACAACAGAGATGACACCTTATACTTTGTATGTTAGACAGAAACAGAAACTTTACCTCCCTCCTGCCGTATCTGTATGGAGGATGCTTTTGTTACAGGTTTTATCTGAATATTCTGAGGACTTGGTTGGACTGGCTGGGGACCCATGGGAATCACTACACCAGGTTTAGGCTGACCTGCTTGTGTAAACTAGAAAACAAATCTCGAATTATGTACAAACACCAAAATTTGTTACTGTAAAAGTTTGACACTTCAAATTTTCAGTAAAAATTAGTAGTACAAGTGATATATTCTCCTTCATAAGGATCTTAATGAAATTCTGTATTGTCTTTTGATTTTGCAGTCATGTCATCAATTTTCAGTTTTAATGCAAATTTTCTTAACACAAAGGTATTTGCATTAAATTATTTTTGCTTTGTTTGTGACGCACTAAAAGAGATCTATTGATAGGTTATTGTACCGTTGTGAATCGTTGTCTAGGCATGCTTGTCTTTAGTCGCGGTTTCGGAACACTGACCGCTGGTGTTAGAAACGTCATGGTAGAAGTTGTCACCACTGTAGGAGTAGTACCTATACAACAAGAGATTTGATCCATCAATACAATGTTATACCAGATAAATAGACCTGAGAATCTGGACAGAATAGATTTATAGTTTGCTGGATTTGTGGGGTTTTTTTTAGTACACCATCTTGTACCTGTAGTTTAAGTGGCTAGACTGGGTACAAAAGAAAAGGCAAAGATAATATTTCCTTGAAAAAAGGTTGATATGTACGACAGTTCAGTTTTCAAGGCCTGATGGGCATTCTTTTAAACTCATTTTTAATTAAGATGTATTCCACATGAAAGAGTACATCTGTCTCATCTTATGACAGGAAATTCAAAGTTATCTCAAGTCTCATCAAACCTCTAATTGAGAAAATAATAAAAAAGTTAATGAGAAGAATTAAAGGTGATGTTAAATAAAGAAAATGAACCTAGAGCTTACATGTGGAAGTTGCTGTAGACATGGTTGGTGTTGCTACAGTAACAATGTTGCCAAGGTTTCCATTGGAGGAGTTGACGGATGTGTTTGGAAGTATGATTGAAGCTTTGCTGTGACTGGCTGCTAGTGAGCCGACAGTTTTAACCACGGGAACTGTGATGGACTTCTGAAGCATGCTGGGTGAGGATGACTGGCCAGAACTGGACACCAAGATGACCTACAATCACAAAACAGAGAAATTTACTGAAAAAAATGTACCCCACCTGGCCCTGAAGTTAACAACAACACTTTTTAAACACTGAAAATTTAAATTTCGCCAAGCACAGGTAGCATATTCAACTACCATGCCCAAAATTATGCTACAACATTTGAGGATACCTTTTGGGACTGAGTAATGTTGGTAGAGACTTGAGAGCGTCCCTGAGGACTTTTGCTAATGGTGATTTTCATGGGTGACATCCCTGAAATAGAACTGGCAGCTGTTGTGGTATACGTAACTCGAGGGGTTTGAGTGGAAGCTGAAGGAGACACAATTGTTTCTGTAGATTGACTACGTCGTCTCTTTCGACTGATTGGTTCTTCGTCCTCTTCTGTATTTAATCCTCCTGGAATGTAAAGTATTGTGATCAAAAGTCTCCAATAGTGTATTGGCTGTTCTAGAATTGAATATGTGGGGGCGTCAGACATCAGATTAATTGGGGAGGTGGGGGAGGGGTTTGTGGGAAGATGGGACAACACTAAAATGGGTTTTGTGTGTGGTTGGTGCAAATTATAAATTGAATTACAGAATTACATGAGTGACTGTTCAACAGGAACACCAGAAAATCAAATTGTGGGGGTAAGCTTGACATCAAAAATCAGATTTTGTGGGACAATCATTCCAGTTGCTCAGGGAAGCAACATGTATTTGGCTGTAAAAAAAAGGGCAGTAGAATGAAATTTTTTGGGTGCCATGGAAAACAAAATTCTGTGAGGGTTACTTTAAGTAACATATTTAATTTTGTTGGTTATTGAATTTGATTAAAACTCTTTTGTATACAAACTTTGATATTGAAGAAGTTTTATTTTATGGAACAGCCCTAAGTGGATTTTATCTCATCAGAGTTGATTTCATGTTTAAAAGTTAAAAGCAGTACTGAGTATTCAAACATTTCCCAGTGCATGAATAATTAGATACAATGGCTTTTCTTGTTTGTGTAAAATTGAAAGGATAGTCAAGAAGTTATGTGTGAAATAGATTTGAAATTGCTGATTTGAAACATTTCTTCGTGGCACAAAACTCATCTTAGAAATCATGTAGTCCTCACATGTTGCAGTTTCTACATTTCTGGTGAAAATATTGATAAATAGTCAGAAAAATTGTCACTTTTAGATAAACATAGCATCTGTATCAGTGTAACCTTTCTTTGTTTTACAAATTATGATCCCTACCTTTGATGTGTATGGACATGCCACTTGGCAGGACTACCACATTGGAACTGGGACTGGTAGGACGTGACACCTTACTGATGCCACTAGCCACAGGAGTGGTAGGGCTGGCCACTGTGTTCACTGAAACAATGATGGTGAAAGCTATTATCATTGCACATTTAAGAATTATTTATTAAAGGAAAAAGGAAAATTTATGCCAGAAAAAGAAAGAAAAAAAAGAAATACTACCACTGATATTTTCAACCATTACAACCCTTTGAGATACATATGATATGTACAGAGTTTCCTCGAGATACAAGGACAACTGGTTTACCATATAAGAAATTGTGAACTCACCCTCCTTGTTCCCAGTGTGTGATGGACTAGGCATGCTGGCATTTTTCTCTGCCTGTATGTTAGCAGCATGATTGGCTGTGACTGTGAATGCTGTCTGGGGTACAAGTCTTGGCATCAGAGGGATCAATCTACGCCCTTCTATTAACCACTCAGACTCCGTGTTAGGGCCAGCCATACTATGAGGAACAGAAATCACACTCTTATCAAATTAGGTCCTTACAAGAAAAGATTTCTCCAACAAACGTATGTCCCTCCTTCAGTTTTGATAAAAAAGACCATAATCGATTCATGTTTAATTCTTATTTGTTTGTGAAAAGCGTATTCAAATAAATTGAACAGTTAAAAGCCGAGACTGTGAAGATTGCTTAATTGATTATATTCTAATTTATTTTTAAAAACAAAAACAATAATTTTTTACTACATTGGTTTTATTTTCTTTCTATATGGGATAAATTCTAACTAAACTTTAAATCCATGTTGTTCTCCTGTAAGTGTTGGTAAAATACAAAATGTCAGAACATCAATGCCTTCACTCCTATGCAAATCAGAATATAATCAGGTGCAGAGCTATGATCTAAATCTATTGAGGGGTTCAGGGACAGGACAGGACTGCATGGGACAGGACAGAACAGATATGGGTAACACTATGTGCCTCATCCAGAAAATAGCAGGGACCCAAAATAATGACTGACATAAACATTGCAAATGCTGAATCAGGTCAAAATTATAGAAGCTTGGGACCATCTATCATATATGTATTTAAGTTTTATACAGTGACAGAGCTCAACATAGGTTTCAGGATTACAAATATTTTACCGGGATACCATATATTGTTAGTAATCTGTTATGGGATACCAACATTTTTTCATACCATTTCCGGATTTGGTTGCTCAAAGTGTTGCTTTTGATATTACCTACCAGGCAACCAAGGTCTAAAAATGTGACCAACCCAAAAAAGGAAAGACAAGCAAATGGCAAAAGGATCCAATATAGAACAAAAGAGAATATCATTTCATCAGTAGCTGGTAGGATGATATCGAATGGCTTTGCCATGATGAGGAACCTAACACTAAGTATTGTTGCTGGTGTTTCTATCATTTCTATTATAATATCAGACATCAGTTGTAGTTTCAGTACCTAGGAAGACAGTAAAATAAATATATTGGCCTCCAGAAACACAAAAATTATGATACAGAAAGACAACAAAGAGAATGGTTTCCAGCTAAAATTTCCTGTAACAAGAGGCCAGATGGGTCTGCATCGCTAAACCTGGTATTCAATGTTCATCAGTGTTAATCACAAATACACCATTGACATTCAAAGTGGGCACAATCTAAACTGTTTAACCAATTCCCACAACATACAGCTTCTAATGCTCAACTCTAAACAGTGATAGTTATGACCTGCATTTTAAGTAAATGTGAGTTCTTTTTTTCTTGAAATTTGTTCGGCTTGACCTTTGCAATAACCTACCTGTCAGCAATTGTAGAAAGTTTTTCATCATTTATTGCTCTTCGCACTTCTGCTCGATGTCTCTCTGTTGATATGCTGTAAAAGTTTGTGTTATTTGTTATTCAAATGTAATATCATAGTAATAAATGAAATCTAAAGCAATAAACTCACCATATCATTTAATTAAATGTTGACACTTGTTGCACTTCAGCAGACCATATTACAAGTTAATATTAATCGACAATTAGGAACTGCTAGAATAGATTGGTAGATACCAAACAGGATTATTGTAACAAACATGAAAAATCCTCCCTGTAATTTCACAAGCTCCCAGTATTTCAACATCCTCTTATTATTTCTGCTACTGCCGCATCACAGCTTCACTCTCTTTTCAGGGGATTGTTACATTGTCTTCCCTTGATAGTTTTGGTGCTATCCATGTTCTATGGTTCTTATGATTCTATTGCGATTCAGACACTGATGGTTCTGTCACGCTTTCACTTCCATGTTTCACCTGTTATGTACCTTATTACTGATCTATCTACCATCATACAGTGTGTGCCAACCTTAGATTTTGCTGCAGGTCCTGAAGTATCCTTTTCTTTTCTTTGTTGAGATCACCCTGTGCCCTGAACACTGATATAAGAGAGGAATAGGCTTCCAGCTCCAGACGCCTTAGGACACGTTTACACTCGTCCCGTGACATGTCTAGCAACATTGGCCACATCTTATCTGAAAATTCAGCAAACATTAAAAGCTATTGTTACAATCACTAAATAAGATACCTACCACAATATGATACCAGATACATACCACAATATGATACCAGATATATACACCAGATACATACCACAATATGATACCAGATAAATACCACAATATGATACCAGATACATACCTCAATATGTTACCAGATACATACCACAATATGATACCAGATACATACCACAATATGATACCTGATACATACCACAATATGATACCAGATACATACCACAATATGATACCAGATACATACCACAATATGATACCAGATACATACCACAATATGATACCACATACCTACCACGATATGATACCACATACCTACCACAATATGATACCAGATACGTAACATATTGACCATGAATTTTTCTGTCTTTAGATAAAGGCAATTTTCTCTGTTAATCAACATTTTGTGTTAATTTTATGACTCTGTGACCAGCAAGGGTTGAGGTCTATTTATAGAACACCTCAATGAACAAACAGAAGGTTGGCTGTATACAGTCCACAGGAAAAGGGGCAAAGTGATTCATGGTTTAATCGTCCCAGCTGAAAGTCTCTATTTACGCACATGAAATCAGCCCAAGGTAATATCAGCCTGTACATATATATACATATTGGTTATTAATGTGCTATTTGGTTTAAGTTTAAGAATTTTTACCATAGACCTTAATACAAACATCTTCAGACATGTGCAGTCCTTCATTTGGTCTAAGATTTTGATTTTAACACTGTAGTAATAATTATTGTAGATGAGCGCATATTTTCATGATAATAACTGTTCAATACGTAAATGTATATTGAGAGATGGCGTAAAGTTGTAATAACTTTTGCCTCATCCCTCGTTCTAAAGTTAACAATAAACAAGTTTAAATCGATCAATGTCTTAAAATTCTATCATATTACATATGGCTGGATACTGTCTACATAATAACATTGAAAATTTTCAATTGCAATCTGACATTGAATAGCTGCTCTCAATCTCGCCTTCCGTGGTGGCTGCTACCAGTCATTGAAATCAGCACCAGTTATGCTTCAGCTTTTGGAAGATGAAACAGAACAGTGAAGTCAAAGAATAACAGAACAACTTAGACCTACTTTCAATCCATTTCATTCAAGTGTGTTTTGCATAAAAAGTTATAGCCCTCTTAAACAAAGTTAAAGACCCAATGGTGTTGAAAATTCAAAATGATTCAGTGGATTCAGTAACACTTTCAATAGTGTGTCCTTCACTAGCCTCCACATTGGCTTCACATGCTGCGAATCATGTACCGTATAGCCATTTGTGGAATTAATGGCCATTCTTGATGAAAAGCATCAACAAACTCTGTCAGTTGACAGGAAGCTGTGGACTATCTAATGCATTGCTGAAACATGTCCCACACATGCTCTATCAAATTATCCATACACTCAATGGTTTCTGCTTGAAGGTACTCATTCTCAAGTCTAGCTTGGTTTGGTAGAGCATGGTCGTCTATCAGTACAAACTCAGGTCTGACAGCACCCACAAAGGGTCTTACAATTGGATGAAGGATTTCATCCTGGTACTGTAAACCTGTGAGTGCAAGTGTCAATGGAATATATCACATAAAATGCTTGTATTTTGCACACATGATGAAAGATTCCTGGTATAAATCTTTACAGGACTGTTTTGACAGTGTTGAACTTGTGACGTCATAGATGTAGGCTACCTGTATTGAGGCGATCACCAAGGTGTGCATTTCATATAAATCACGATATCTGGGAAAAGGAATAACATTCCACATTATTCACATTTTCTGGACCTTTCATTGTTTAATATGAAGTATTTTGTAGCTAAATATAGCAAAACAATCAGGATACACTTTAGGTAAAATAGTAAAACAAAAGCATGTGAAATATATTTTATTTTTATAATGAATCATCAAAAATGTTATTTTGCATGAAAATATTTACATATTGAGGACGATTTAACCTACAAGAAATCGACCACACGCTGACCTCAATCTGGGCCGATTTAACCAAATACATGTATTGCGATGCTGAGCATCTTGCCACCGATACAACCATGTCCACACTGACCGGTTCGTTTCACAGCTTCATGTGACACACGGGTCACAACGGGTATGGAGTAGTGAATAGCGTACTTCCAAGCTTCACCTCCAGTTTTGGAGGACAATGCTTTAATCGACTGAGCTATCGGGCAGACGAGAAAGAGACAGAAAACCGAACTATTTGATTCTTTTTTGTTAATAGCCCTTGTACAATAATGAGGGTCGAAATGACGAATGTTGGGAGGGAGAGGGCCTGTAACATCAAGGGGCAAGGACACGGACAAATGATGGCGACTTGATGTGAATACAGGACTTAAAACGATATTTTTTTTATCAAGTGCGTCCGCATTACCGGCCGACATGTTCTTTAACGATACTATTTTTGACATTTTTGCGAAAATTCAGTAAAGCAGCGTAAACATGTTTTTGAAACATTGTCATATTTAGTTGATTCTGGTATAATTACCTGTTCAGCTACCAAAAAACCATGCAAATAAGGAGATATTTAGTGACTTTTCATACACTGTGTCTTCACAGTTCTACACGACCTCCATGTTGAAATGGCGGGTATCGACTGCGCATGTCTGTATAAGAGAAAAGTAGTCATTTAGAGTGAAATTTGTTAGTCAAATACGGTAGGGTGAAGGATATCTAACATTCTTTTGATAATATTCGATATCTATTATAATTATTTTATGAATACTCAACAGAAAATGATGAAATTACGGAGCACATTAATAATTGTAACGTCACATTATCACTACTTTTTACTGAGAAAAAAATAGCACTCCTTGCGCATGCTCTTAATATTTGTTTCAATATGGAGGACACATTGCAATGATAGACGACACCGAATTGTGAAAGATTGGATTTTGCTTTCAGCCGTGAGCCCTCACTTCAAACAAATGGCAGGAACTTGAGATGAGGAAACTGAAAACTTGAAAAATAAGGTGACTGACATGGGCGACAAATTGTAATAATTTGTGATTTTTTTTACTTTGATCATTGCCAGGAACTTGCACAGTAGTGGGATAAGATAATATGACCGCTTTCGCGTAACGAGGTTGAAACGATTCTGGTGGTCTGTAATTAGTCCATGATATATGAACGCACATGTACCAGATTTTGGAACTGATATATGTTCATTATACATAGTTTCCAGCCGTACCTGCCTGATACTAAATTGCTGAATATCATTAGTTTTCAGAATTTCAGCATAAAAAGTAGGGTCGGACCACTCATATATTTCTAGGAGCATTGTTCTATAAAAGTATGAATGAAATGAATGGTTTCTTAATTTTAGTTAATTGATTTATACTCAAAGGGAAAGTACGAAACTGTGCATTTAGAACTTTACATATATCAAGTCCAAAATCTGGTACAAATACTTTCGTGTTTCAGTGGAATAATTCCAGATCAGCATTTCACATGCAAATATACCTAAATGTTACATGTATATGTATTAGTGTCACCAACTCACCTTAATTTTGATGTGCACAATTTTTTTTACTAATGGTATGTGTATTTTTGTATTTTACAGCTGTTCATTAAAAAAATGATGTTGAATTTCATGTTCAGTTGATGTAATGAAATTATATTTTTTTGAAGCCCAAAAAATGGAGAATGGAATTGACGTAAAGAAGTGTGGCATTAAGTTTGACCCGCCCTGCATTATTGTCAGCTATGAAAAAGATGGGAAACTTAGACGTCGATCAATGCCACTGAGAAATTTCACAAAAAATTCCAGCGTTGACAGGGCAGCAGAAGAATTGTTAACAAATCCTCGTCACAAGAAATTTGTCCATTGTCTTCCAAAAAGCCAATTAGAACGCCTTATTACCATCATCAGTGATAAAATGAAAGGGATGAGTCTTGAGGCTAGCCTTGCTCGAAATGCTGAGCTTGATAAACTTGATCCAGAAGAAGACTTGAATAAGGTTGATCCTGAGACACTTACACGGAAGAAAGCTGTAATGGAAAATACATTTGAGAAAAATCGCATTAAACCTGGAGATGCAGGATTCGAATATGATAAGGAAGTGAGTTTCGATGATGCAGTTGAATCCTGTGATTGGGATGATAATTCAGAGGATGAAAGTTTCTAGGTTGTAGATTTTCATAAAGTTACCTAATCAATGCCAGTCTTGATATTGTTATGGAGGGCTATTCAAATAGCCGTTCGTCCATTGTCCGTCCATCCGAAAAAAAAATTTTGTTATCACTTTTTCTTGGAAAGTACTGGACAGATTTTTCTCAGAGATCATATGGGGTTCCCCTCATTACCCAGTTGTGCCCATTTCAATTTGGGACTGATAAAAAAAATAAAATAGCTGACAGGCAGCCTTCTTGGATTTTTAGGTCACCTGAGACAGAGTTTGTTATTGCTTTTCTGGACTAGATTGATCTGTCTCAGATATCGTAGGTAGGTTCTCCTTTGTCCCTAGTTGTGTCTGTTTGATTTTGGGACTATTCATAAAAAGAGTATTGTTGGATTTCAACAATGAAAGTTTGTTATCATTATTTCTTTAGAGGAATGTTCAAATTTTACATGATTAAGAGCAAAAACAGATTAGAGAAAAGAAGGGAAAAGATCCAACTTTTAAAGGACAAATAAAGATCAAACAATGGTGGACGTCAAGATCCTTCTGGTATCTCTTGTTTGTGTACATTTAAAACTATCTTTTGGTCAATGCAAATGTAAACCAGAATTCTTAACTTACTATGTTTGTTTGTGAATTTTAGATTTTTTTGGACTGCAATCATTAAATGACAACTGTTCAAATTTCCTGCCAAGCATGGTTTGTCCATCATTTGTCCATTCTGAAATAATTTTTTTGTTATCTGTATTTTTTGGGAAGAACTGAATGGATCTTTCATATATATATATATAAATAGTTCCCTTGGTCCAAAGTTATTTACCGTATGTACTCTATTAACAACAAGAATCTCACTTAATAAAAAAAGCACTTGTTAACCTTGTTGGCTTCTGCGACGTTAAGTATACGATATGTGGTTAATTAAAAACCATTGTAAGGCAACACAACATTTAAATCATTGTCTTTCATGGCTTATCACTTATCATGAATTCAACATTTAGTAGTTTATCATACTTTTTCACCAAATCTGGTTTTTCATTGTTTTCATTATTTAATATAAGGCCCTGATTCTTGACTCTTATTACCAGGTATTCTTCAATTTACTTGCTGGGCCGTTTAATCCTAGCCTAATGACCAGGTTTTCTTCAATGATCAAAACTAGCCTTTTGTAAACATGTTGAATGTCTTATTTAATTATTTTGTACTTTGATGAAGTAAATATGTATATTTATTTTGTACAATATATCATTTATCTTTAAGTATTTATATCAATAGGAATATAAACAGTTATCATTTTTATTTCATTTAAAATCATTGTTTTTCATATTCTTTGCAAATTTAATCTATTGTTTATGTTTTTTATTTCTGCTAGTGACGTGTGTTTCTAATCTATGTAAACTCAGTTGGTAGAGGGTTGGCTAACACAACTTCAGTAACTCAGTTGGTAGAGGGTTGGCTAACACAACTTCAGTAACTCAGTTGGTTTAGGGTTGGCTAACACAGCTTCAGGTAAAGACCCTTAGAATATGGTTTACCTCTCCCTACCTGTAGCAGTTTGTGTTTCTCAAGAATTTGAGAAACAGACCTATCTGCGTTCTTGGGCAATAGATTTTACCTTGATGGGCCTCCTGTATGTTGTTCAGTGAGGTAGTCTATCACTACTACAAGGAGAGTAATAAACCAGTCAGCAAACTAACAAATCATGTTAATTTTTTTTTTATTATTTGTCATATTAACCACTTTTCAACTGGATTCAAGATGGAGAGTTGATAAAACGTAATAATTAATTATTACTTATTGTACCACATGGGTAGTGCTAATGATTTTAAAGAATCAGTTGCCAATTGTGTTGCTTGAAACAGCAACCAGTTTTTTGAAAATTCAGAGCCAGAGATAGCCCTGCTTATGTTCCTGATCCTGATGTCAAATATCAATGTTGAGTGTGACTTTCTGCTAAGGTTATTTACTAGAACTGCACTCCATCTTTTAAGGCCAGTCTCACAACAAAATTGATATCGACAAAGGGAAATTATATATTTATAAATCATAAAGAGAAAACATGAATAAGATGTGTTCAAGATTTATCATGTGAAATAATCATTTTATTATGCCAATAGATGTTCAGATGTCACATATGAAATCCTGCTTTAGAAATCATAGATTAGTAAGTAACAGACTATTGGCACAAAAGTCTTCATTCAGTCATTTATGACTACAAGAGAAAAAAAATAGTCTGAATGTCCTGCATTTTTCAATCTCCAACTACAATTTTTTTTCTTTATGTACTGGAAGTTAATGTTATCAGGGTGCTGTTTTAGGACATGCCTGTAATTTTACAGTTCTTCAAGTTTACAAGTGGGTTGTGAAATTGTATCCAGCCATATATAGCCTAGAAGTGCCAAGCACGTTTCATCTTTTCATCCATAGGGATATACAAGATAATAACACACGTTTATCTGGTGCTAAACCTGTCACAAACATCTAGATCACTTACTCATCCATCTGTGTAAATCTGTCACTAATGGACTCTTATGTCACAGTCAAAGATAGCAAAGAATTGTTACAGAAAAGCTTGGATTCTCAAAATAAATACTATCAAAGTTGTGATGTTTTGTACAGAGTATACAGCAAGTTGTTTTTGTTCATTTTGTCTAAAATGTTGGATTCATTATACAAAAAATGTTGAATATCTATGGATTTGTATACAGACATGACTGGTAATAAGTCCACCTAACAACCAATGCTGTAAATTCATTCATTTTAGTTGGGCTGAGAATTTGTATTTTCTATAAAAATCTGAATGTTCTTTGGCACTTGATTTTGTGGATAAATATCGCTGAGGAAAGCAGTAGTGCTTATAATGTCCTATAATCAATGTTAGTATTGATTAGTTTATCGTCTCATGGACATTTTACTTTGTTGAGAAATCACAAATTCATCAGAGAAAAAAAAACACCAAGAAAATTAATGATTTTGCAGAACATTATGTATTTCATTTTCCTGTGATAAACTCAACCCTAATGATGAGAGTTGACAGGATAAATATGTACAATGGTGAAAATTATTTCATTCAAACAGGAAACACTAAAAAGGTTTATGCCATGAATTTAAGTTTCTGTACACTAACCAATTTGCTGATATATGATGTCCAATTATGATTTGATTTGTATCAATAGATAAATAATTTACTCAAAAGATGTTTTATACTCGTACTAGAAACAGTAATAAAAATAATTTGACATTTGATTCAGTGTCATTTTTAGCTCACCTGGCCCAAAGGGGCAAGTGAGCTTATGCTGTGGCACAGGGTCCGTCATCAGGCGTCAACTTTTTCCTGAAAACAACTTCTTTTCAATGACCAGTGGACCAAATGTTTTTATATTTGGCTGGTATGTTCCTAGGATGAAACCTGACAACGATGCTAAAGGAAATGACCTTGGCTCATATTCAAGGTCACAGAGGTCAAATTTGTTAAAACCTTTAAACTACTTCTTCACATGAATAAAAGGCTTAAAGGCTTGATATTTGGCTTGTATGTTCCCAGTATGAATCCTGACAAAATTTGTGAAAAGAAATGACCTTGACTTAAATTCAAGGTCACAGCATTCAAATTTGTTGAAACTTTTAAACAACTTCTTCTCATGAACTAAAATGCCTATGGGCATGATATTTAGTTGGTATATATATATATACAATTGTACCAGGTGAGTGCTGCAGGCCCATTGGGCCTCTTGTTAATTAAAGTGAACAAATGTTCTTACTGTTTACTGTAAGTTTTCAAAAGAAAATTGTGTAAGGTCTCATCTCATTTATTTTACCAATATCTGTGCCTTAATGTGCAACTGTAATCTAGGGCGAATATATTGTGCCCTCACACTGAACTGCTCTCACTCAGGATAAGTTTTATACAGTAACATACAACTGACTGTAGCCTGGCTTTTTCAGTTTTACCAATAAAATCAGGAAAAATTCAACTGCTGTGAAATTTTCCCAGTACAGGATCAATTTTCTTCTTGCACTGTCTTCATTACATTTCATCAGTTTTTGATACAAGGTTTACATTGGAATACCAGAGTGGCAGGGGACAAGATCTTTACCTCAAATGGCAAACAGTGACATCGTCCATTTATTTACAAAGCACGATGTCATGAACAACTAAGCTAATTTTGACCAAAGACAGAAGCATCATTGGGGGATGGGGAACACAATTTTCGTAAATAGTTGGTCTGCCTGTGTGGTAGGACCCACAATTTATATAGAATTGATTCTCTTCCACCAAGGGTGCTTCAGACCAAATTTGGACATAATGCAATTATTCCTACAAGAAGAGTAGGATTTTTAAGACTTTGCTCTACTTGCCCTATTGGGGCCTGCCTCTCCTGCCCTGAGACCTAGTATTTATACAAAGTATGTTCCCCTTCCCCCAAAGGGTGCCTTTGACTAAATTTAGTTAAAATTTACTCAGTCATTCATGACTCGGAAAGATTTGGAGATAAAGCTAACAAATGGACGGATGAAGGACGCCACAATATACCTGGAGCTCAGTTGTTCTTGTTCTAAAGAAAATAACACAACAAACATATCATTACTTTAATATTTTTAATTCTGATCAATATTTTGTATTGTGTGTATACAATTCCTGAAAATATCACTTAGCACAGAACACCAGCAAGCTAGTATTCTTTCTCACACCTGACAGTAAACCTATAAATATTAGAAATATATCAGGCCTGCAGGATCATCACTGATACTGAAAGTTAAAACACCACTTACTAGTAATTCATTAATGAAGATTTTGCTAAAATTTTAAGTCAATACCTTTTCTGAGAAAGTAACCTATTTAGAACTTCAGCGTGAGCTGTCCATAGATACATCTTGGATACTGTGTACATGGACAGCTCGGACACTGTGTCTATGGGTAAATCAGACACAAAGTCTATGGGCAGCTAAGACATGTGTCTACAGGCAAGTGACCTAAAGTTTACCTGGTATTGTTGACTTCATAAAATGGTTAACTCTATCCCTTAGTAGTTAACATTGCAAAGGAACTAGCTTTCAACCTTTTCCTAAAACATTTGTGAGAAACAGATGGAAAACAAATGAAAGACATTAATCAAAACAAGTTGACCTGCCTGGTAGCTAAAATTACCTCCCTTAACACTATCAAAGACTTCTTAGAGGAAAGCAAACTTAATGCAGTTGGAGAGTTGATGAAATATTTTAAAGGAACTTGCCCCTTCAAGTGTTTACTTGAATGTTTAGTCTATATACAAATCATTTCTTCTTTTGCATCACCCAAAGAAAACCTCAATAGATTGTTGAAATCTGATATGTACAAATTTTACTCACTAGATGACAATTGGTAAATAGCCACTCCTCACATACACTTTTGACATTCATAACCTCTAAGACTCAATTTTGCCTTGTCATAAATTTTGTAATTCATTATCCTCTACCACAAAATGGTGAGAGCACATTAGGACGAAAAATATAACTTGTCAAAACTAACCAAAAATATTTAAACTTCTTTTATCATGTTTTTAGAACAACAACAAAGCACAACAATCTATTCTAAATATTTTCAGTAAAACCAGAGTAATATCTAGCACTGTATTTTAGTAGCACTAATTTGGCTATCATTCAACAGAACCAAATTCAAGTCATATCAAAAATGTTTATATAGAGGATTATAAACACACTTTCAACATAATACCAAAATTCCTGAACTCTTGTGAAAACAGCTTAATTTTCCCATTGCTAAAAATTAAACAAATATTTATCTATGTTGGTTTCTAATTCATTTAATTCACAAATTTTGAAGCCATAAAAAGATATACTTTTCATTACCATTGAACAGACTATGTTTACTTTACTAAATTTATTTTCAATGTGTCTATTGTTTTTATTCCATCTTCAAGACAAGGACAATACGAACTCCTCAAAATAATATTTACAGTAATGTCCACCTAAAGTCAACATTGAAATCTGTAGAGCGGAAAGTTGTCCGTTTCGTCACTTATAGGTCAATTTAGATACAAAACAACTGGCCAGGACACCCTTACATCAGACATTCTCTCCACTTTCATTTTACATACATACTATATTGTACTTCCACTTTACATAAATACTGTATTGTACTTTCACTTTACATACATATTGTACATGTACTTAACACAAATATCATATTTGTATGTCACAGAAATTGTGCAATAAAAACAAAAAGTTCTACTGCAGGTACCACTGATTACAATTATGTGTATATGGCCCGTGTAATATAGACCTAAGTGTGCAATAATCCCTGCATATCACATAATGATCAATGAGAAAAACAGTCCATTTTCACAATGCAGTTCAATACATATTGAATCATGAAGACTATAGAAACGTAGAAATGTAATTATATCAAAAAAATCATGTAGATGTCCAGGAAATCATCAGCAAATAATCTCATTAAATCTAAAGTAAGAGATGGTTTAATTTTTGAGCTTGGCATTTAGTAAGACAATATCCTTGCTTTAATATAATTTACAATACACAAAATGTAAATGGCTAGCTATCCAACAGAACATTAACATTTTGGTGTATCATCAAAAGTTGTTGATTGAAAAAGTATATATGACAAGGGAAGTGGTTGAGGCCAGCCACTTGAACCAGGCAGGTATGCTATTAAAATTTATCTATAATGAATTAATAAATATGACATCACAAACGTTCAAGATGTTAAGAGTTCAGAAGAAATGCTATTTCAATTTTGGGATATGTGCCATTTAACACAACATACTAAGAAAACATTGATATTCAAATTTTGCGCTTGGAAACCACAACATTTTTTGTGCTGAAAAATGTACACATACAGTATTATATTACATGTATGGAACACACACAAAGGAAGTTAAATAAGGGTTTTAACCAAATCAGCGTTAATATTTCTATCCAGTTATCATGACCAAAGACAGATTATTGTGTTGAGTGGATTTATTCCAAATGTGATTGAATAACAAAAGTAAGAACTTGCAAACAGAACAAGGACAAGTATACAGATCTCAGTTTAAACGTGTCAACACAGGTTACTCATTCATATTCTTACATATCTCTATTGTCAGTCTGGAGACAGACATGTTGGTGGTAGATCAGTGTGATGTATATGGGATCATATTTGTGGTAGAAGGGTAGTGGGAAAATCAAATAGTGGTGACTGTATAGAGAGATAACCAGATTAGTGGTGACGGTATAGAGAGATAACCAGATTAGTGGTCATTAATAGAGAGATAACCAGATTAGTGGTGACTGTATAGAGAGATAACCAGATTAGTGGTGACTGTATAGAGAGATAACAAGATTAGTGGTGACTTAATAGAGAGATGACCAGCTTAGTAGTTGCTGGATAGCAATAACACCTGATAAGTGGTCACTTAATAGAGAGATAACCAGATTAGTGGTCACTTAATAGAGAGATAACCAGATTAGTGGTTGCTGGATAGAGAGATAACCAGCTTAGTGGTCACTAAATAGAGAGATAACTAGATTAGAAGTGACTGGATAGAGAGATAACCAGATGAGAAGTGACTGGATAGAGAGATGACTAGGTTAGTTGTAACTGGATAGAGAGAGGACCAGATTAATTGTGGTTGGATATTGGGATAACAATATTAGTGGTGACTGGATATTGGCAAAACTAGATAAGTGGTTGTTGGATAGAGAGATGATCAGATTAGTGATAACTGGATAGAGAGATAACCAGGTTAATGGTGACTGGACAGAGATGACCAGATTAGTGGGGACTGGATATTGGGATATGCAGATATTATTGGACACCAGATATCCCATCAATAATGAAAATCAATGCAAATTGTTCAACTGAAAAAAATGAAATAAATAAATAAAAAGAAAAAAAATCTTTAAGGTGTTCAAATTTATCTAGTACTGTTGACCACATCCAGCATGTCTGTTGAGTTATAAACAAAACATTATCACTTCAGAGAAAGAAAATGAGATTTACAAATAAGGAATTCAATTATCTTGGAATGCTCACTTTTAACATTGTAGTCGCACTTTATGCACTTAAGTTCATTTTCAATCCCAAATGAGAGGCTTTCTTTAAAAAGAATATCTAGCTTTCTCTTTCAGCCTATTTAGTGAATTCCCTTACTGCTGGGGCACGGAAAAACATACCCAGCTACACTTCCTAATCCATGTTCTTCTTCAGTAATAAATAACTATGGTTTGTTAAAAGTGATATCACTTGCACAGTCAACATGTTTTTCCCTGTCTATGACACAATGAATAATATGTAAGTGTAGGTATTTGCCAACCGATTTATACTCTGTATAGTTCAGTGTATTGACTGGTTCCAATATATCTGGTTCACATTCCTGGTTCACATTTTCTGTCTATGAGTTCAGACCATGAGGTGACAGCCTTTCTGAGGATGGCCCGAGAAATAATGTTAATGTTGAGTTCTAACACACATACCACAAAGAACCAATTATCTGCAACTTCCCAATTTCTTGCTCCACGAATATGAAAGAAGTTCTATGAACACGAATAAAAGAAATCCACACAATGACAAAAATAGCACTGAAATGATGCAAATCGCAGATGTATCGCTGAAACATTCGCCAGACTGAAAAGACGACAGTAACAATATCTTTATTGGGCAGATACAATCTGTCTCAATGTTTATGTCAGACAGATATAATCACGGTCATCAAAGCCTTTGAAAGACAGAAATGATCTCTGTCAAATAAATGTTTTATCACCAACTAAATTTGTCCATAAGAATCAAGCAACATAATGATACTGATTTGGATTATCTTTATCACGTTCCATGTAGTCTCTGTCAATCAAACTTTCGATCCTTTTCTTCAAATCTGCCGGCTGTAACACAAAGGACAAATTGATAATTAGTAGAAAACAAAATGAAACAAAGTCATACACATTTTTTCTAAATTTATTATAAACTCAAAACAACCAAATTCTATGCTAAATTTGCTGTTTGCACAAAGCTATATGATGCAGTTCTCTTTATTACAACTTAATATGTCTTTGATACAAAATCATCAATATTGATCAATATGATTGATCGCTTGAAGCATATTCAAAGCAGGCAAATTCTATTTCTTAGAACCTGACAAAAATGAACGATTGAATCACCAATAAGATGTAGAGGTTCCTTTCCGTTGTATTTACAATTTCAGAAAATGGAAGTTTACCTTGACTGTAAATCATACAACTGGAGACTGGTCAGTTATAATCGTCTTTATCAACTCACATTTTACCATATCTTTGAGAAACACTTATGCTCCCGAGGGGAAGCCATTCATGAAACTAAGACATTCGATTCAGAGGCGTTTTTGCCATATACCAAAGATCAGCAAATGTGAAATCTAATGTCACGGTCATTAGTAACACATGTGCTAAAGAAAAAGTATTTTCTAAAAAGGATAAAGTTACTGATTAGTATGAAGACTATGGACATACAAATCAAGGAATGTGAAATGCAACTTCAGCACGTATTTATGTCTGCCAAAGAAAGATTGTTTTTGCCTTGCTTCTTACTATTGTCATTACTAGACAGCTGCTGACAAGAATTTATCATGCCATTTCTATTTCTGGTGTTAATTTAAGACTTAAGAAAATAAATATACTAATAAATGCTTAGTCGTGTTTTTGCCTTTATTCACTTGTACATTGGCTTTGTTTATTTCTAATTGTAAGAATTTGGAGCATCTTTTTGCAATCGATAGAATTGAAATGTATTCACAATAATGCTATCTCTTGTTCCATGTCAAATTCAACACCTAAGTAAGCTCAGTCATAAGAACTCATTCTTGAATGGGATTAACATCTGCTTTTATAAAATTTCAGCAGATGAGTCTCCAAACACTTGTGTATTCTGAAATTATTTATTGAAATCAAACCAGTTTTAGTTTGGATTTATATGAAAGCCTACTGTCTGAACTGAGAGTGCCCATATGTTTGTATACTTATCTCATGATTCATCTATGAGGAGTAATCCTGCAATACTCCTAAAGTTGTGTAACAATATCCATTTTAATTAATGAATAGTATATTCTAATAATATTGATTCTGATCAAATTCAACCAATCATCAGTAATGTAATTATCTTATGCAATACTCTGGAAACGTTTGTCCAAGGGAGATAACTCAAATTACATATAAATGATCAGGACTGGAATTTGAATCGAGTATATTTCTGTAGATAAATCTGTATAATGTCCCTGTGTAGTTCGATCATTTAATTTAATTTACCAAGTTCAGTTGTTGCATAGTAATTAACATAAAAATTCTCTAATTTTGTAAATACTTGGTATCTAATAATTAAAGCTCTGGAATATATTTAACAAATGGACAGAAAGATAGAAAATAATATGCCTGCCTACCCAATCCCTTTTCAATTATCTAGAGGAACAAAAATGGTTATATATGTAGAAGTTGGGTTTTTTTTATCATTTTTCCAGAGATGGTATTTTACCTCGAAATTTTAGCTTGTAATTCAATAGATGTTTTTTTTTGTCTTTTGGTCAACTTTCCTAATCTTAAGATTAACACTTTACCTTCACTGGAAATTTAAGCTGGTTATAGAGCTCTGATATTAGAAGATTGTGTGTGAGGGTTTTCCGTGTCTTCATGATGCGAACAATTGCAGCATCTACTTGGTATTGTCTGTCCTGGAATACTCGCTCTGTTGTACTCGTATTCTCTTCTTGCTGCAATCACAAACAAAAGTACTCCACTTCTTTAACTCTCACTATAGTCACCAGTTAAAGTATGGATGGACGGACTAACAGACAGATCAAAAGTGTGGAATGGATTGGCAGATACAACAGATAGATGGATGGACAGAAAAAGTTAAATATTACATGTTTTAAAGCAAAAATTTGAATGACAAAATCAAACAGAGGCAGCAATTTTGTTGCATAACTTTCAATTTATGACAAAACATCACTGTCAACAATGACATCACAACAGGTTTCTGAGTAGAAGCCAATGAAAAACAATTCAGGATCAATTTTACTTGTGGCAAAAATATCAAATGGGTAAAATTACTAGATAATAGGACAATTATGGGATAAAGAAACACACTTTGATCAGCAGAGGATACTTGTATTTCTGAAGTAGAATTTATTTTCCAGTAAAACTCACCGTTTCCTTCATTTGTATTTGGTTGATTTTGATTTTACAAAGTTTGTGTTTGAATCCTTCATTATAGATAAACATATCATCATCTTCTATTTCTTTACTCTGGAAAATAAAAACATAAACAATCAACACACAAGAAATATCAAATGTTTTAACTTCACATTTTACTCTGAACTTGTTTTCAAGGGGTTTTAATTGTTACTATTTGTGAGTATTGATTAAAATTGCTAAATCTTGAAAATAAACTTGATACAGAAAACCACTGTTAGTTTCATGACTTCTGCAAATCCTTTATGCTTCAATCGTTTGATAATCATGAAAATTTGAACCATCGCAAATTTTTTTTTAGAAACTATTTTTTTCCAATAAATGTTGAATCAAAATATACCATGTAAAAAAAGACCTATTTAAAATGATCAGAGCAGAGTCACATCACTTTCAATCTCAACTCCCCTGGAACATGCCCTGGTAAAATGTTTTTTGTGCAACACCTTATAGACCAGATGAAAAGACTAGTTTGATCTTTTGATATACATCAAACAAATCAGGAGGATGCATAAGGGTATGTTGTAATGACTTTGAATTTAGGTGTCGCTCATTTTTAATCTTCAAAAGAAGCTATCAGTCTGTGATTGGTAGTTTTCTTCAACCTGGAATCAATCTTATTAATTCTTTTGTGCCTTCAATTTTAGCATGATATGTTCGAGGGGTGAAAGTGTTCATAACCCCTGAGGTATCAAAGATGAATTAATGTGTGAAACACTTTAAACCAACTCTCCTTTGTGATTTCAGCAATACAAGTTCAGTCAAATTGCATGTAGGGTAAATGTGCATTTTGTATTAAATATTAACTATGAAAATCACGGTTCATTATCTATGTTTTAATTCCCAACAATCAATTTTCGTGATTTTGCTTTGATTGTGTTATTTCCCAAAGTATATCACAAGCAAAAGAAAGTTGGTTTACAATAGTAAATAGTACCAGGTACAAAGCTTTGTCCTGACAGTGATCAACCTCCTCACAGTGACTTACCTTAGGGTGTTTCTGTAGAACTCGGGCCTTACCACATGCAAGTGACTGAAGCGTCCTCCTCAGTTCACCATCCTCTGGTTAAAGCAATAAAAATCATTAATCATGTACAACTTAGAGACCATGTTTTTATTTGGACATTTCATAAGAACCTTTTTTTAGCTCTATACACCTTATTTGTCAATTACCTACTAAAACTACTAACAGTACAGTCAAACTTTGTTAACTCGAAAGTTGTCAGGGTCATGAAAAAAATTAACAGGGACTTCAAGTTGAACGAATTTCAACATTAGCTCCAAGATTTTGTATAATATAGAGCCTTCTGAAACAAATGAAAATGAGACTATTTGAATCACTTGTTTACCAACATGCATGCCAATTTATAGATACAGAAAGATGAGAATAATGATACACAATTCCAGAAATTTATTCAAAAGTTACATGAAGCTTTATAAACACAATAAACATCATTGGTAAAAATGTGACACTTGATGCTTCTTCCATATCACCATCTTGATGGTAACTCATGTACTGTTCTTCGGATTTCTTTATTGATATCAAAGTCATATATGCCCTTATGAAAACATTTGCCAGAGTACAAAACCAAGGTTGTGATTTCAACTCTACATATGAGCGAATACATAGCCAGACAATGTTTGTAGACAGACAGATGGACAATGCGATTCCAGTACATCCCCACACCTCAACCCAACTTTGTTGCAGAGGGTATAATTAGGAGACTAGCTAGGAGTCTGACAAACTTACCAATAGCGGTGGCCTGTCTGATGGCCTCGAGAGAGAACTTGACTCCATCATTAAAGAGGAGGAGACAGAGGGTCTGGAACAGGGATACTTGTAGCTCCTTCTTACCCTGAAAATATAAAACATACCTTTTATCATCAAGGTTGAGAAATAAGCTAACATTATAGAAGAAAATGCATGATTGTTGCTTCAATGCTTTGGTAAAACTGCAAAAAATTGAAATGACAACCTAAATGATATATAGACAGGAAAACTTTTATGTAATAAATATGACCACTGTTCTTCAGATTGTTATTTATTTACAGACTGAAAAGGTCCTGACCAGTCATAACTAATTATGTGGGAAAATATGTAAAAATGATGATGGCAGTTGAAGTATCTTACATATTCAAAATACTGACTTACCCCTTCAAAGGAAGCCTTCAACACACAATGGCCTAGTGTGGGCTGCCACTGTAGTTTTCTCCCACTGTGTTTACCCAGGTAAAATTTCTTGAAAATTTCCTGAAACTTTATCATCTGAAAGCAAAACAAAATGTATTTCCAATCTTTTAGCGCCAAGAGTCATTTATGGTCACAATTTTGTTTTAAAGCTTGATTGATCTATCATCTGTATGTGCTTTAAAAATATTTGCTTACTGCACATTTGATGAGAAATGAAGTTGAATGTTTTCACTTTGACAACTCACTCAAGATGTGAAGCATGAATCATATATAGATAAATTCATTCATAAATAATTTTTCTTCAGATATTTGTACCCAATACAAAAGTCTCACCTAATCACTATGGTCACTTGAACCCTAAAGTCTATCATTTTGTCAAAAGATCTGTACTCTTAAGTACCTTCAGTGTAACAGTCAACAGTCACATTACTTTATCTTACACTGTCCCATTCTTCCCTACCCTACCACTATTGTGTACTTTATACTGTCAGTTGTACTGAGATACAGACTGGCATGTTCCAGTCCCAGTCTTCACTGTCAGGTATTCTGAGGTTCAGATTGGCATGTTCCAGTCCCATTCTTCACTGTCAGTAATACTGAGGTACAGATCAGCTGTCCTCGTGTTCCAGACCTGTTCAGACTTACCTCCACTGGTAGGTGTATTTCCATGGGAGTGTAAGTGGGCCAGTACCCCATTGTGAGGATATTCACAGTCAGTTCTATACCACCTGGTGAATCGATGTGCTGCATATACTGTTTAAGACGGAGATTTCATTAGCAACACATTATCTCTGACATCAACAATCCAGTGTGAATAGAAAAGTCAACATGTCTAATATAATATAGGGGGAAAAAGCCCAAGACAACGAATATAGACATCAAAGTGCCGAGGGTATTATATAAATGCTGTACATGATGTATTGAAGTAATGGAATAAAGCAAGTGGTTATCAGATTATAACTTTATGTAGTGAAAAGATAACCTATACCTCAACTGGAAATTACCAGGGAAAGGATTCTCTATATTTCTATATTTTCTCACTCCCAATTGTAATGAAGTTTTGTTAAAGAACACATTCCATGTGTTGCAAATAACAGTTTCTAATTAAATCATAAAATTGTAACTTTATCCTCTGATAATTGATATAATTGTGTCTATATATCATCAATGGACATGTAAGCTATCTTCTTATCTATACATCCAGAGGGTTTCAGTGGTACAATATGAAGTCCCATTAAGCACATGAGATCTCAGAGGGATCTTGGTGCCCATCATTGTTTGATCCTTTTATTTGCTCTTTGAAAGTTGGATCTTTTCCCTTCATTGTTTTTGCTCTTATTGATCAGAAATTTGAACATTCCTTAGCAGAAATAGCAATGATAATCTTTACCTGCCAAACATACATGTCGTCTGAAAGCCATTTTGTTTTTCTGATCAGTCCCTAATTCAAATGGACACAAGCAGTGACCAAATGGAACAAACATATGAAATTTGAGAGAGATCCATTCAGTATTTCTTCAGAAATAGGGATAACAAACTTTTAAAATCAAAACCCAAGATGGCCATTTGTCGGCCATTTTGTTTTTCTGATCAGTCCCAAAATTAGCAAGCACAACTAGAAACCAAGGGGGACCTTCATATAAAACTTGAGAGAGATCCATAGAGTACTTTTTCAAGAAATAGCCATAACAAATCTTCATTGAAAAAATCCAAGATGGCTGCCTGTTTGCCATTTTGTTCTCCATATCTGTCCAAAATCAAAATGTCACAACTAGGGACCAAGGGAAACCTACACATAAAATTTGAGAAAGATCCATCAAGCAATAACAAAAACTGTTGATGGTGGGATAATAAACAGGATTTTCTTAGTTAATGTAAATGTTTTACCTGCTTGAATGTCAACATAAAGTCCTTCGACAGCTCCATGTCTTTGAACATTCCCTCTAATTTACTTGTGAAGGCAGCACCACATTCTGAAGGAACCAATATTGAAGATATTAGTATATCACTACTTAATTCATATTATCATCCTCTACTGCAATTTGTTCATAACTTTTTAACACTAGTCCATGAGAAATGGAAATCACTATAGAACAGATGTTGCTTATGATGAGCATAGTTGTCAAACATCAGCAACAAAACTTTTTCAAAATCTGATGTTTTGAAATTTAAGGGACCAGCAAAAAACTTTGAAACTTGAATCATTCATGTTACGGTATATCACACACTTACATATATCTAGCACAAAGCCTGTGGTTATATTCATGTTTCATGTTGATGACAATAGTTGATACAACATTTTGACCTCAACACTAACGTTCAAATACTGAAAGACATTCCTATTTACAAAACATTTTTTTAATAATTAATGAAACAAAAGCAACTTTTAACAGAAATTATCAAGAAACAGACAACACATCTTTATGATTACATTTTTCTCTGTGGTACATATCTTGCAGCATATGTATTTTACAGATAAATGAGATAGATGTTTCCCGCCTCCCCTAAAAAGGTTTCAGGTAGAATAAAAACAAGTCAAAATTTCCATTTGTTCACTTAAAACTGTTCCTTTGAATCTTTTCTATCTCATATGAGTATCCTTTCTAACTTGTTTGAGTTTAGAAAACATGGATTTTTCAATCTTCCCTACCTTATTTGAGTTAAGACAATATGGATTTTTTAAAATCATTCCTACCTTGTTTGAATTAAAGACAATAAAAATTTTCACAATCATTTCTACCTTATTTGAGTTAAGACAATATGGATTTTCACAATCCTTCCTGCCTTGTTTGAATTAAGACAATAAGGATTTTCACAATCATTTCTACCTTGTTTAAAATAAGACAATATAAATTTTCACAATTCTTCCTACCTTATTTGAGTTAAGACAATAAGGATTTTCACAATCATTCCTACCTTGTTTAAGATAATACAGTAAGAATTTTTACAATCCTACCTACCTTATTTGAGTTAAGACAATAAGGATTTTCACAATCATTCCTACCTTGTTTAAGATAATACAGTAAGAATTTTTACAATCCTACCTACCTTATTTGAGTTAAGACAATAAGGATTTTCACAATCATTCCTACCTTGTTTAAGATAATACAGTAAGAATTTTTACAATCCTACCTACCTTATTTGAGTTAAGACAATAAGGATTTTCACAATCATTCCTACCTTGTTTAAGATAATACAGTAAGAATTTTTACAATCCTACCTACCTTATTTGAGTTAAGACAATAAGGATTTTCACAATCATTCCTACCTTGTTTAAGATAATACAGTAAGAATTTTTACAATCCTACCTACCTTGTTTGAGTTTAGATAACATGGATTTCTCTGCATCCACTGAGGCACTCTTTCCTACCAGGAGCCTCTTGGCAAGGTCCTTTTTGTAGAAAGCCTCAAACACATCTTTACCTGTTAACAAGTTAAAAAAAACATATTTATTAATAAAAATACTGTGTAGAGTCAAACTAGAAAATATTTCATACATTGATCAATAAGGAATTTCAATTTTGAAGATAATATTTCAGTTGAGACGCCTTTACATACCATGTATAAACCTAAAGAGGACCATGATCTTGTCAAGAAGTCTCTCCAGCTCCTCTTCTGTGGCTTCCTTGTTTCCGGCTCGTAACTTGGAATCCACATATTTGGCTGAATACAACAACAACGGTGAAATTTTTAACAATTAAAAAGATTTTTTTCTGATTTTTGTACCAAACAGCCTTCTAATGAAAAGCTGAAGTAAAATTATTGATGTTTCACTTATCTTTATATAAATTCCTTGCTTGGAATTTTTGTGTGTGTATTTCATTTCAAAGATATAAGTGTCTATGTTGAGGATGCCAATTCTATTAGACTACTTTACTAAACCGTATAGAAGTTAGAGCTCTGATTCCATCACCATCACCTGACCACCTGAAAATTTGTCACCTTTAAATCAAAATAAAAAATATCTAAGTATTACAATTCACCTACTTTCTTGTCATAAGCTTTCCTGGTGTGTTTATACAACATGTATACATGAAACATCTCTTCACTCATTTCATTTATCTCTGTTCTTACCAATAAGTTCTGCTGGTTTGTTCTGTCGAACATTTACAAAGTTTTCGAAACTTTCTTTCATTGCATTAACAAATTTGTCATTTTTGTTGAAACACACATTGATGATGTTGTCAGTTTTGTCTTTGAAATCTGGAACAAAAAGAAGCTCAGGCTAAGATAATGTATTTCATAAGAGCAACTGACAAAGCAGAAATATATTAACCATGTGTTACATTTAAGTGACTTTCGACACTGTACCAGCCAAATAACATGCCTCTAAGCATTTCAGGTCATGAGAAGAAGTCCTTTAAATGTTTTAACATATTTGACCCCTGTGAACTTGTGAATATATGTCAAGGTCATTCATTTTCCCAAACTATATCGGGCTTCATCCTAGAAACATACCAGTTAAATATCATGCCTCTAGGCCTTTTAGTTCATGAGAAGAAGTTATTAAAATGTTTTAACAAATCTGACCCCTGTGACCTTGAACATAGTTCTAAGGCCATTTCTTTTTTCAAACTTTGTCAGGCTTCATCCTAGGAACTAGGTCAGCTTAAAATATATATGTTTTTAATGATTTTAACTTAAGTGAGCTTTTTCAGACAAACATTTTTAAAAAGATTCTTGCGTCTAAACTACCACTTGCATGGAACTGAAAATAAATTCAAAATCCAACCAAACCAAGAAAAGAGAAACAATCTTTTAACATAGAACTGTACCATAGCTGGTAATGTATCCATTCTCAAGCTTTGATAACAGTAAGATCATTAGTACACGCCAATCAGTAACGAAGGTCTCAGAAATATGAATAGTATCTAAACAGTTTTTATTTTGCTATTCTTGGCGAGCAAAACTTTTCACTTCCAAAAGAGTTTTGTGATATCTCACATGAAATGAAAGTGAGTTCTTTAATCACCAGACTCAGTAAAATTCATCTTGATAGTTTCAAAGTAAAAACGGTTGTCAGAATAAGATGGGAGCATTCTCCATATCATGACATCACAATCAATTTCTGACTGATTCAGCCAATGAAAATTATCCCAGGGTGTATTACACTAGTGACCTACATGCAAAAATTTAACACAGGGAAATTCATTTGAAAACAGGCATATCATGTGATGAAAGATATTACAGAGGAGAAAACAAAAAGAAACAGTTTACCTAATAGACTTTGAACCATGTCCTTATCTTTTTCTGTATCATTGTCACTGTTTATCACAATTAGGCGCCCTGTTGACTGTAAACACAATAGAAAGTTTTGTCAATATCAGCTTAGATCATTACTCCTGAACGACAAAGTCTACTTTTTGATTTTTCTGTTACTGGAAATTTTCTCTTTTAGAACTGTATAAAATATTATCACTGAACATTAAGATATAATTGAATTAATCAATTATCTTTAATTTATCTGTTTCATTAAGAACTTGTAACAATGTGTATTATCTAGGTCCTCCATGAGTTACCTACCTTGATGTACACAGCAAATGCAATACATAAATCCTTGAGTCCATCTCTCACCCGGTTGAAAAGCTGATACATGAGTGTAAGTTCCATGATTCTGTTCTCTGACAACAGCTGGTCCAGACCTGGTCATTAACAAACAGTAGACACATTGATACAATCACAGCAAACTTAGAAATCCAAGAAAATTTACCCTTAGTCCAATAATTTTGTTCAATTTTAAGGATCAACATCAAAACATAAATATAGAGCTACACATAATCCAGATCAGATATTATCTGTACATCATACTGGCTTTATTTTAGAAAGACTCTGCTTTGACAAAGTGTACCTTTCTGTAGGATCTGTGTTAGGTGTTGCTCCAGTAGCTGTTTTTCTACACAGCACACAAGTGGTTTTCTGTTAATAAAAATATCAAGTTTTATGTATACCTCCAGTTATAAATACAACAGTTCTTAGGATATCTGGCATTTCCAATAATTTGAAAATATCTCCCCAACAGAGGAATTCACAACTTGTATCAGCTCTTTTCATATAAATTTTTCATTATAAAACCATATCACATTCGTGCAATTCACCTCGACTACAAAAATAAAATTCTTTTCTCATTTAATCAATTAATAAGCCAACAATATATAATTGTAATTACTTTGTTGCTTGATCCAGATAATGTAGCAATCTTTCAGATTCCTCATTTAGACGCTTGTCAACATAAGCCAAGTATTCTGGAACCTAACAGTCAATAAAGAAAACACAAATTACACAATGAAATGCAAATCCTAAGTAACAATATAAAGTTGGTATCACACATCTCTTTAACTTGCATCTAGTCTTAGCCAATTGGACTGAGCTCAGGCTGTTGTTTGTCATTGTCATCAATGGTGAAAATAAGAAAACTTTTGCAATGTTGAAATTGCATCCACAATTATTATTATTATTGCATTCTTAATGGCCCGTCAACACATTAAATGTCATTAGGGCCATCAACCAGTAAAAACACACAGCGATCCAAAAGGAAATAACATTAAACACACCAAAAGGTAAAAGACAAATGCTGAAAATCTTAAATGGGTATATTAACACAAAAGATTAAAATGGTACATTATATAGACCAACATCACAAAAGTAGAACTGTCAAAATACACACTTACTCTTCCAGTGCCAGTACTATCTTTGAGTAGGTGGATTTTTTGTTGACAAAAATAATACAAAAGCAATACCAGGTAAAAAATAAAGACTTTTTTTTTCAAATGAAAAGAAAATGAGCATGATCCCCGATAAATATCTCCCAACCAAAAATATAATATCTTAAGTTCAACCCTTTAACCTTGACTGATGACTATCAAACCTGAAACTCTTTTTTTTGCACAGTTTAACTTATCTTTACATACTCCTGAAGTAATAGACACACTGTTAGGCCTGTTGTTGGGCAAGAAGTCATTACTTACATCTCTTTCTTGCATTAGTCGCTGTCCTTCAGCAGCATAGAGTCTGTCTGTGGCCTCGATAAATTTCTTCTCAAAGGCATCTTGATAAATCTGAATCAGATCAACAGGTTTTCATCAGAGGTGTTAAAACTTATCAAAGCTATCAAACCAAACCACAGTAAACATGTAAGAATTAAACCTGGTCTGCTGAAAGGTCAATAAAATGTTCCTTCTTTTTCCTGTTAAACACTGGCTACTTAGCTGTTACACATATTTACTGTTGTCCTCATAATGGAAATTACTTTGTCTTGGTGTTTCAAGTGCTTACATCACTCACCTGAATAGTTCAGATACCTTAACAGTAGGGGTCTAAAGATTTGACTGTAAGTCACTTATTTTTCACAAGGGATTACATTTCATATTTATTCCTGTGCAGCTTCAATTAAATTTCCCACAAATCACTTTTGCACATGTTGACCTTAAATGACTTTTGGACATGGTACCTGTGAAACCATGTTTTTGTGAATAAGACTGTCACTTACCTTTCGTAAAATTAAATACTGACTAAAATATAGTGGTTTACAGTACCCTTTTGGGTCCTAACACTCTATGCAGCTTACCTGAAGATCTGACAACATTCGTAACAAACTCTTCATCAGTTGTCTGTCTACAGCCTCGCCATTGCGTTCTCGCTGAATCAACTGGAGTAGACCATCTACAGTACGTGTCTGTACAATATGGTGTCCAACAATCTGAGAGCGAAATAAGTCCAGTCCCATGTCCCTGTATAACGTTTAAGTCCCATATTTACTTATTTAATGCAAAAACAAAAAATGTTGTGAACATTACATATTTTAAATAATGCCATAAAAACATATATTAAACATACTTGGTACTCTTATCTGCATGAAATGTCTATTGCTAAATAATTTATTTTTCTTGTTGAAAAAAATCAGATTACACACAAAGCATTTTGTTTCATAAATGTAGGAAATTCAATAATTAATTTTCATCTTTAAATGACAAGTTTCCTTCAATTTACCTCTAAAAATTAAATCTCTCCATGAACTGACCGAACTTCAAAACTGGAAACAAGCACATCTTTGTAATGACAGATGTTGTTATTTCCAAAATATCTAATTATATTGGAAATCAATACCCCTTCCCCCCAAAAAAGGGTGGAAAATGTCACTACATCATACATAACTTAATTTCTGAATAACTTACCAGATGGATAAGATTGAGGACGTTTGTAACACATATGTGCGATCCAGATACAAGAAAATGCTTCGAATCATTATCTGTAGAGAAAAAGATTTTCATAAATATAACACAATGAGACATACACTAATAAATTATGGATTCCCCATCTGGCCAATCATCAAACTTGTTTTTTTTACACATTTTCCTTGACAAATGAAAGCAAATAATGAAGATTTATTGACAAATGACAGCAGTATAGAATTACAAGTAAGATCACTTCTTTACTAATGTCTAAAAGCAATTTCACATCGTTAATATGAACACTTACCATTTGTCTGCAGTGATCCTTCCAGCAACTGTCCATCATTTTTAGAAATTGTTCATACCCTATATTCTCTGTACCAATAATTAAGGATTCTGATTCATGAATGCTTCATAGGGAAAGCTCTGTAAACAGACCCCATATAACCTTACCCACAATTTTTCTGTCGAAACACAAACCACATTACACATAAATGAAGCAAAAGACATCTGATCCGAGATCTGCTCTTCAACATGCCCTGTATCATCAGGTACTTATTTGAGGTATGTGGTTCGACATGCTCTGTAACATCATATACTGATCTGAGCTGCTTGGTTTGACATACCCTAGATCATGAGGTACTTATCTGAGCTGCATGGTTCGACATACCCTATATCATGAGGTACTTATCTGAGCTGCATGGTTCGACATACCCTATATCATGAGGTACTTATCTGAGGTGCATGGTTTGACATACCCTATATTATGATGTACTGATCCAAGGTTCATGGTGTGACATACCCTATATCATGAGGTACTTATCTGAGGTTCATGGTGTGACATACCCTATATCATGAGGTACTTATCCAAGGTGCATGGTTTGACACTCCCTATATCATGACGTACTTATCTGAGGTGCATGGTGTGACATGCCCTACCCTTGATAGTTTGTTTTTCTCAGAAAGATTAGATACAGACCAGTCAGTGTTGATGTGTTAGTGGCATACACCATACACAAATTGCCTCCAGCTACCACAAGGAGACCTTGCCTTAAAATGACCCCAGCTGTTCACAAAAAAATCCAATAAATAATGATACAATAAAACACACATCTGCTACATACACTTCCATTAGCAATTTTGTCAAGTAATTAGTTAAACAAAGGATATTCTAGAAACTGCTTGATATTGGCTTTGACATGGTTTTCACACACTTGTTTGAGCTGGTCGTACAGGTTGGCAGACATCTTGTGGGAGCACATGTTTTCCACTGCCTGATAAAGCTCCTCCAGACTGGATTGGATAGAATGGCTTGTGTGAATAGCCTCTACCGAATCCCTTAACTTCTCCCATGTTTGCTGTTGAAAGTTTTCGGGCAATTTTGGTTTTTCTGTCAAAAAGAACAAACAATTATATGACATAAATGAAATCTTCACCTCAAAACAAAAATGTAGGCCCCAAGTATCAATACTGTTGAGTCCTAGAAGGACAAAACAAAGGTATAATGCAGTATCCATTGTTTGTTTACACTGTATAGGAGTCTAATCTACATTGAAAGGTGCTATTTACTTTCCTACAATCTTCTCACAACTATCGTATTTACCCAGCAATAACCTCATACAAAGAAATAAGTCCACTCATACAGGTTGCTGGTGAGTAAGATTATAAACCAATTCTATTTTTTGTCCTTTAATATAAACAATCCCCACAACTTTTGGTATAAGTGATCATGGAGAGTTGGTTCATAGGCTTATTGCATGGTTAATCAAAATTGCCAATTTACTTCCTTCCCTGTCAATTGTACTGGAAGTCAGACACATCAGAGCAAAAACTTATAAAATCTAGTTCACCAAACATAAACAACTATCTCAGTTACAGAAAGAAAATTCCAACACATACATCTTTAAAAAAAAAAGCCACTCCCCACTACCTCCTTTAACACAGAAATTGTTTTCCAACCTTCATCTGCCTATACTATAGTAGGACACAGTAAATATAGTAGGAGTCCAAACTGCTTTGATAGAAACAAACAACCAGCCATAACTGTCAACATTTGTGTCAAACTGAATCTGAAACATCACAAGTATTAGAAGAGCTTCTATATAATTGTAAAAAGACAATGACAACTCGTTTCTTTCACCTATTGAAAATCAAAAAGCAACCTATGTCAAAACTCATTACTGTAGTTATTCAACGATGAGACCACATGTGGTATGTTTATTGTCAGCAAGAGAAACACCATATGTACTATCAACCTATTCTAGTAAACATTTTTCCAATATTTGTGGAGATATTTAACTCTCTAGTATAACATTTGTTAAATATTTCAGGTTTTCATATTAAAGCATCTACTTCCACATGAATGAATGCTATACATGTGACTAGCAAGCAAACAATTTTAGTGTGACACTTAAGCTTGTACTAGTCTTATAATGTGTGTTAAAGGTGAACTTGTTATATAAAACTTGGATAGCATCTTTTAGTAACTTCCAGTGCAACTGAGTAGATAATTAATGAAAACCAATTACTTCGTCATTCACTGTTTATGAAAAGGAAGATGTATTATAATGCAACCATTCATTTTTATCAAATTACATTCAAGAAAGTATGTTACATTTCCAGTATTTCATTATAATCACTATCAAAATGTTTCGTATCATAATTTTGCACTGTCAATGTGATTGTAACTTTTTTATAAAATATGCATTGAATTTAAAGGGAAAATTATACTTTTTTGTGTTACATCATTACCTTTGAAATTCTTTATCACAAGTTTTTTTGCTGCCCCTGGCTTGCTGTTTGCCAGTGGCGAAGCATGTCTATTTAACCCATTGCTAGGACTCGATAACGCTGAGAAATTGGCTCGCTTTTGAGATTCTGTCATCGGTGTTTCATCCGAGTTTTGACGAACCCTTTTGTGATTTGGAGGAGAAAGGTTTTCCCTGGATTTTCTTTTCCTGTAATTTACTTCCTCGTCAAACTTCTGCTGTTCTTGCAGATCTGGCTTATTAGCATTTGAGAGAGGCATGCATTACGCTTTAGGCCACAAAATGGCCCAAGTGTACGAGTAAACAGCAGTTATTTGACACTGACAACTTCTGTTTTGTCTTTTTCTCTCAAAATGGCGGTGGCTCTCGTGTACACTCTCGTGACAAAGGGAGATTACTCTGATTTGTTTACAAAACTTCAAAAACACGTGTTGGTTGTCATGTCGGGCATATCCTTGTAAAACCATTGTCGTTGTTATCATAAACTTATGCTATATTTGCTTCGTTAAAATTATGCACGTTTTGTTAAAATTTCAATATTTCAAATGCCTATTATTTTGATATCTCATTCTTTGTTGCTAATACTAGTTTTAAGATATTGATAGTTCACGCACGGTACTTGAGTATCATACAAAAATATATGAACTGGTGTTTGACACATTTCACACGATGGGCATGGATTCTGATAATATTTTTGAAGTATTCATTTTTAGCCAGTTGCTGAATTGTTGGAGGGTTTATCACTCGGGTAAAATCAGGTCACGTGTGATATAGATAATGGTACACGTGAGTGATCTATAAAGTGACACTACAGTGCTCTTACTGTAAAAAAAAAACAAGAATATTGCATCATAAAATGTAGAAAGGACAAAAGCAATGTAGTTCATATACTGTCGACATCTTAGTTAATTTTGGTGCAAATAATAGTGTTCAGTCACAGACTTAGATATATCAATTTATGTGTGTGGTTCAATGAACTGATCTAATTGATAACTTTAAATTGATTCAGGTGTACATTGAATATGTTTGACCTGTAAACTGAGATTAGTTGTAGCACTTTGGAGATAATTTTTTGGATGGATGGTTAACACATGCTTTTTATGTCTTTTTTTCACCGTTAACATATTCTGAGTTAAGCATATTAGGATTCATTTAATTTTCCAATAAATATTGGGACAAAATCCTGTCTTTCTTAAAGTTTGAAGGATTTTATAAGAAGTCACTTGATATCCACAATTGGGCCCTTTCCTTACAGGTCCTGGGGCCCCAGACCCTTCATTTAAACAAAATTGGTTCCCCTTCACCAAGGATTCTTCTTACCAAATTAAGACAAAATCCTGACACACCTACAGATGGATTCTAAAAATTTCCTATAAATCCCTTATGGGGCACTGTGCCATACTAAGTTGAGATATTCTATTAATGCAAAATCATCATGAACCTTTCACCAAAGGATGTTTCTGGCCAAAATGAGAGAAGAAATGTTTTCCTCTAAACAAGGATTTCAAGGCTCCTTACCATATTTGGTCTAAATACTTTCATGCCAACACATGAAGGATTTTAGGCCTGAAGGGTCAGACACAATGCTCATACAAAATTGGTAACCCTTCCCACAAAGATCCTTCTAACTAAATAAATAAAAATATCTGCATGTCAACACAAGAAGGGTTTTAGGCCTGAGAGGTCAGATTCATTGCTCATACAGCATTGGTAACCCTTCCCACAAAGACCCTTCTAACTAAATAAATAAAAATATCTCTACCCCTACTACCCCTATTGAGCTATTTGTTCCAGACTCTTCATTTATATAAAATTGAGCACCCTCCCCCTTAAAGATGCTTCTGACAAAATTTGGACAACATGTCATCCAAACAGTGAAAGAATTTTAAAGATACTGTAAATTGGTAGTATTCCTGTTCATTTCAACTTATGCAGTGCTTGTAAAGGCTCAACAAAATTTGTGGTTTGAAATACAAACTTTATCAACTTTGATTAAGATTTATTGATAGGTATTACTACTGGTAAGTATGTTGCATGCAATCGTAGGTCCAGCACCTGTTAACAGGCATGCCTTGCCCTCCTAATGCATGTATTATCATAATGTGAAAAGGACTCTCTTTTGTAATTAGGGCTCCACATTGAGATGCTGGTGCACTATAGTTATCAGCTTGTCCGTATTTGCTTTTTGCAATAACTTGTATATTTGTTGTCAAATTATCACCAAATTTGGTGTGGACCATTTCATTAGTTTCTACATGCTGCATATTTGCTGTCAGATTTTCATCACATTTATTATGTGGTTTTATGTACACAATATATTGTATGGCTTTGATGATCATTGGCATCTGTTCATATTTACATGACTCATGGGACTTTAAATGCTGCGACAAATGACCATCATGACATCTCTCAAAAATGTTGCTGATATTGGTGCAGATCATGAAAATCCAATATGGCTACCATAGCTTCTGGTTGGCTGAGACATTTTCAAATTCTTCTTAAGAACGGTTGGTTCCATTGACTTCTAACTTAGTATAAATGATCCTTAAGGAGTTCCAAACAAGTATAGTTATTACTCGTGCAGATAATAAAATTCATAATGGCCACGGTGTCTTCTGATTGGCTGAGACATTTTCAAATTTTTCTCAAAAATGAGTGGTGTAATGGATTCCTAACTTGATACAAAATTACCCTTATTAGGTCAGAACCATGAAATGCTTTTATTCATACTATGCTGATGTATGAAACCTGTGTGATATATGCAGGGCCCTGCCTTGTCATTTATGTAGTTGTACTCTGCTTCTAATTATCTTTTCAGATTTTCACATTTGAATTAAAATCACCATTTATTTTCATATTAAAAAACACATCTCCTGAAATAGAACCAGAGTAGTTGTTTGGTTTACATGACCTTCATCACAAAATCAAAATCGACAGTAAGGAAGTCAGGTGGTGTAATCATAGCATACTGGCCTCTCACCTTAAGGCACGAAAGGGTAAGGGTCACCTGCTGACCATGATGGTTTTCCCTGGTTACTCTGGTTTCCTTCCACAGTATGACCCCCACGGTTGCTTCCATCCAGGCAAAGAAGATTAATTAATATCAAACAGAGTAAGTTGATAGATTGTAAAATCAATAAAAGTTCTACTAAGAAAAACCATAAAACATTCAGCCTTGATCAATTCTTTATACTTCTCACTTGTCAAATAAGTTCAATTTAAAGTAAGGTCAATATAAAAAGTAATTTTGACCGCTAGTCATTACTTTCAGAGGTCAAGCAAGTGTAAATTTTACAGTAAAGAATCATCAGTTTCTAATAGGCACACAAATGATATCGAATATGTGAAATTTTTAACTGAATACAAAAATTATCCCTGACCTTGGAAATTAGACTTAAACATTCAAACAGTAACAAGTTTATACTCAAAACTTTTATTGTAAAGGAAAATATTATAAGCATCAAAATTAGGATTTTTTTAAGGATTAGGATTTTTTCAAGAATTTATTGAACTGAAGAAATACTTTTCAAAGTAGGTAAGTTCAAATCAGATTTTTAATACAGCTCAATTAATCAAAATTTGAAAATGGATTTCCTTAAAACTTTTAAAATTGAAATTTGAGGGTTATTTGGCAATAACAAATTTGTATATGGATGATGTGTCTAGGATTGAGGCAAGCAGTCAGTGCTGTGTATCATTACTGAAACTGGAGACTATCTTTGATTGGCTGATGATATTATGGGCTGTAATTAATTGGTTGATGATGTTGGATGTTGTCACTGTGTATGGTTGATGAGGTTGGATGTTATCACTGTGTATGGTTGATGAGGTTGGGTGTTGTCACTGTGTATGGCTGATGAGGTTGGGTGTTGTCACTGTGTATGGCTGATGAGGTTGGGTGTTGTCACTGTGTATGGTTGATGAGGTTGGATGTTGTCACTGTGTATGGCTGATGAGGTTGGATATTGTCACTGTGTATAGCTGATGAGGTTGGGTGTTGTCACTGTGTATGGTTGATGAGGTTGGGTGTTGTCACTGTGTATGGCTGATGAGGTTGGATGTTGTCACTGTGTATAGCTGATGAGGTTGGGTGTTGTCACTGTGTATGGTTGATGAGGTTGGATGTTGTCACTGTGTATGGCTGATGAGGTTGGGTGTTAGCTGATGAGGTTGGGTGTTGTCACTGTGTATGGTTGATGAGGTTGGATGTTATTACAGTGTATGGTTGATAAGGTTGGATGTTATCACTGTGTATGGTTGATGAGGTAGGATGTTATCGATGTGTATGGTTGATGAGGTAGGATGTTGTCACTGTATATGGCTGATGAGGTTGGATGTTGTCACTGTGTATGGCTGATGAGGTTGGATGTTGTCACTGTGTATGGCTGATGAGGTTGGGTGTTGTCACTGTGTATGGCTGATGAGGTTGGATATTGTCACTGTGTATGGTTGATGAGGTTGGGTGTTGTCACTGTGTATGGTTGATGAGGTTGGATGTTGTCACTGTGTATGGTTAATGAGGTTGGATGTTGTCACTGTGTATGGTTGATGAGGTTGGATGTTGTCACTGTGTATGGTTGATGAGGTTGGATGTTGTCACTGTGTATGGTTGATGAGGTTGGATGTTGTCACTGTGTATGGTTGATGAGGTTGGATGTTGTCACTGTGTATGGATGTTGTCACTGTGTATGGCTGATGAGGTTGGATGTTATCACTGTGTATGGCTGATGAGGTTGGATGTTATCACTGTGTATGGCTGATGAGGTTGGATGTTGTCACTGTGTATGGTTGATGAGGTTGGATGTTGTCACTGTGTATGGTTGATGAGGTTGGATGTTGTCACTGTGTATGGTTGATGATGGAGTTGTCACTGTGTATGGTTGATGAGGTCACTGTGTATGGCTGATGAGGTTGGATGTTATCACTGTGTATGGTTGATGAGGTTGGATGTTGTCACTGTGTATGGTTGATGAGGTTGGATGTTGTCACTGTGTATGGTTGATGAGGTTGGATGTTGTCACTGTGTATGGTTGATGAGGTTGGATGTTGTCACTGTGTATGGTTGATGAGGTTGGATGTTGTCACTGTGTATGGTTGATGAGGTTGGATGTTGTCACCGTGTATGGTTGATGAGGTTGGATGTTATTACAGTGTATAGCTGATGAGGTTGGGTGTTGTCACTGTGTATGGTTGATGAGGTTGGATATTGTCACTGTGTATGGTTGATGAGGTTGGATATTGTCACTGTGTATGGCTGATGAGGTTGGATGTTGTCACTGTGTATGCTTGATGAGGTTGGATGTTGTCACTGTGTATGGTTGATG